ATCACAAATTGTCAGAGCAGTGAAGATAAAGTACAACAATTAACATAAAACTTAAATCTCAGCAGCTCCTCTGGTGACAGCCAGTGTGAACTGTAACTGCAGTTTTGGATTCTTCATTAGACACTTTAGTTAAAGACACTTTTGAGACATTTAAAGGAATTCAAACTATACAAAGCAAGTTGAACTACACTTCCATCCTGTAAATAATTAAACATAACCTATATACTGAAATGGTAATCTTTACGGATGTTTGGAATTTTCATGAATGGAAAAACACAATTCCTGAGGACAGTTGGGTGCAAAAATGAGGTTCTCACCTTTTTCTCGTGGCACTGCCAAGCTCGGAAGTACTGGAAGACAACAAGCTGTCACCATCTTCATCTTCTCTCCTCAGAGAAGTTGAAAGTTCCCGTTTTTTCATCTATAAGAAGCAGATTCAAATAGCTTACTCATTCTACAGTTTGTATTCAATCATTACAGGGGAGACGACACAGTATGGTCAATTTTAGACGCTTAATGTCAGTATCACTAACCTGCATGACCTGCTGTAGCTTAAGTACCCGCTTATAAATGGCAGAGTTGGGCATGTTGTAACGTTTAGCATTCTCAAACATCAGGATGAAGTCAGCTTCTATTTGCTCGATGCTTTCGTACTCATTGTTCCTCATCTTGTCCCTGGAATAGGAAGAAATTGTTATATTGTGTATGTTATATTCTTTCAAGCTGAAATAGAACTAAGAATGTCCCATTTTAAGCACAGCTGTACCGTATTTGTTGCAGGGAGATTGGCTGCTTAATCTGCTGGTAGTAGTCTGGATACTCCTTCCGGGAGGGCAGCTGCAGGAAGGGCTCTGCGACCAGCTGTCCCTGGCTATTCCTGCCACCGTGGACCACTTCATACAGCTGGAAGATGGGGCTGTTCACGTCCATGCAGGAGTGAATGCTCTCAGCCCCTGATTCACCTTCGTCGTAACGTACAGTGCCTATGTACACATAGGGGGAGAGGCAAGAGCAGACATGCTGATCCCATATAAACCTGCACCACATAGAATGTCACAAGGGCAGTTTTCTCGGCTATCTGAATCATTGCGCATTCGTCTCATTCATTTCAAGTCATCACTATCATAGCTCCTGGTATTGCAATGAAATTCTGAAATTACCTGCAAGGGTGTCCTCGTCTGTCTCAGGGCCATACTGCAGCGTCATGGTGACCCCCTGTGCTGACCTCCTATTTCTGACACGTACAACCATGCAAAAAAAGTACGGATTATGATCCTTCACAACTGTTAAATGGACATTCTAAGACTAAGCAACTACAGTACAAAAACTAATTATCTGAAGCAGGAAAGCAACTGAATGAGATTATTTAATGAGGAACCAACTTCAGTAAGGTCATGGGATGTGCAACATCATTACCCAGAGGCTCACAAATTTGGAGAGCAAAACCAGTAGTGATAGCAGCAGCAGCACCACCAGCAAGGAAAAGCATGCTGTACCTAATGCGAATGCTGGATTTGATTGGCTCAGTATGTTCAAGTTCACTCCTTCTCTGAGTGAAGATCTTCTTAATGGTGTTTGCATCCTTTAGAAAAAAATTAAGAATGAATACACCTCACAAATTAAATTCCATTGCTTTGCAACATTTTCCCACAATAACTTGTATCGTACAAACAGTTGTATTAGATATGTGCGTCACAAGATTTTACATTCCCAACAAATGGAATCAAAATAAGTTTTTTGCCCAGTTGGAAATGATATACAGTTGACCTTTCTGCATTGTGACGTTCCCAACTGCAGTTTTGATACACTGCAGAGTTGGTATAAGAAATTAGATAAGACTTTTTTTAGGAGCTTTCCGAAAGCCACAGATGACATGCAAAGGCAAACAGATAACACAAAAAGTTTAGCAACTCATAAATACATAAAACATCTCTATAGTGCTGGTTTGGGGGACGCCAAGTATGTTTACGGCAGCCTCTCAATGATATCTCGCAATGAACTTTATATCTTGCATTTCTCGTATCGTTTTGCTTCTCTCTGCTTGCCAGGGACCGAGGGGAACAAAATTTTTTTACACGTTTTTCCCAGATCGTGATGTGGAAGGGTCGACTGTACTTCAAGGGGAAAATATGGTTATAAATTAACCAACTGCACAGCAAAATAATAAAAAGTTAAATACCTTAAAAACCTGAGATCCAGGTTCGTTGTATGTTTTAGCATTTTTTGTTAAAAGATCTATGTCCTTGGCCATGGCGCTGACACTTTTGTAGAAGCCCGTCTGAGGAAATACATTAAGCCGAAATCCACAGTCAGTCAAACTTTTTAACAAGATCCTAGAAAACACCAATAAATGACATCATTCAAAGTGACATACCTGTATTCTCTGAGCTATAGTTCGGAGGTCTATCGGTTCTTTAATAATTGCGTAATAGTCTGGGTAGTGCTAAAAGAGAAAGACATTTTCACAATGTATGTTAACTGTCTGAGCACAACTTACAACTCCACTGCATCAGAATCTAACTTCTGTGCCATCCCAGATACAAACATTAGTTGTCGCAATTTTTCCCCCAGAGAACAAAGAGTGAATGACCTAGTGTGCTCCCATTGTACATACACTTACAATATGTCTTCCCATCAAACCTGTAAGCATGTCTCCCTCATACAGGTGTTTCTTACCACTTTGGATGGCAGCTTTTGAAACAGTTCACTGACAAGGTGTCCTGAGGGTTCCGAGTAAGTAACGACTGAATCCAGGAGTTGATCCAGAACATCCCTCAGATTGGAGCTTGAGGTCTGATAATGTGCACAGAGAATGATTTAAATAGCTGGGAACACACAATGAAGCTGTCAGTTTCCCACAATGTACATATTTCATCCATAAAGCCGCAGGTCTAAATTAAAACACCATCTCCTTACTTCCTCTTCTGTGGAGGTTCCTGGGTTATCAAGAGTATCCTCGCCATCCTCATCATCATCATCATGGTCCCCTCGCTGTACAAACTCATTTTTTGTTCGCAAATACAGCTCCCAAAGTCTGCAGGCAGCTTTATATTCCGGGCTGTCAGCCTAAGGGCATTAATGCATATTAAATAATTCTGTTCAAATGCACTTCAGTCAACAAAGGGTATTAATTTTAGAAAAAACTACGACAAGATCTGTAAATACTTTATACATGAATAATAATAATGATAGCTACACAATTACTGATTATCTTCCCATGCCTAAGAACAGTTACCTTGTAGTAAGTCTTTGCATTGCTGAACATTAGCTGGAAATCGGATGTGAGCTGGTCCACATCATGATACTCCTCCATCTTTAGCTTCTGCTGGATTTTCATCATGTCTATGGGCTGAGTCACCAATTCATAATAATCTGGCTGGTTCCTAAGCATTAGTAGAATAAAAAAATAATAATGACAAGCAGGTACAGAAAATGAATGGAAGGATGGATGGATGGCATTCATACATTAATTTTATGTTCTGATCAGAAGATAAAACAAAAAATTCTGAAAATGATCGTATTAGACATATTACCGGACTTCACACTTTCATGCAAAATACATTTTTATACATTTATATATTGAAATACTTGACATATGTAATGATCCTAGTGTTTAAATCTGGAAATTTCTTCTTGCATATTTTTAAGTTTCAAAGCCCAATCGACAGACAATTTATATCATACAATGATTCACACAGACATACGAACAGCCACAAAAACTGATAGGAAACTGGTAAGTTATGCTCCTTACCTTCTTTTTGGTGCTCTGATGAACAGCTCGCAGAGCAGTCTCCCATGGTCATCCTTGTAATCTCTGACAGTGTTGTACAACTCATGACACACCGCGATCTGGGTGAGGGAGAGCTGTCATTATGCGGTAAGATTGAAATGAAATGAAAAGCTTGAGGTGTAACGATGAAAAAAGCACTTACCGGATCTACGGTGGGAATACTGCAGCCTCTCCTTCGCTTTCGGCCACTTCCCTGGCCTGACGAGGTCTGACTGTCGTCGAAGTCTCCTCCACTTACACTACTGGACGGGGAAGTGGTCCTTCGCCTTTTAGACCCCATCAGAGCGATGCCTGACCTCTAAATCATTCACAGAAGAAGATTAAAAGTCCTTACATACACTTTTCTGATTAAGGTTACACGCATCATTTGTACATAAAAGTTTTCCTTAATAAAAGTCAGGTTTGAATCTTAAAACTTAATTAACTTTAGAACCAATAGTTAATTTTTTTCTAGGAGATTAATTACTGCATTTAATCGTTAAATTAGATAAACCCTCGATATAATTTACCCAGCAAGCCAATTATATTGCTCCGCAGAACCCAATAACAAAGTAATTAATGAAAAATATGGATACAGCACCGCTGGTGTTCGTACCCCGTAATGAAGTCCAGAAATATACTGGTTGACAGCTTAAGTTCTTAAAATACCCTCTAGCTGACTAAAATACTGGATTCAGTTGGCGAGCCATGTATCGTAAGCATTTTAGGCACAGTGAATGAGAAAATAAACGCCAGACGAGAGAAAACTGGTGTTAAAATGTGCAGGCATGAATGGTGGCTATTTGTTTTGGGACTGGGTTATAAGCAACCATCTATACCAAGTAATTAAACAACATAACCGTTAGTCAAAGAACTGTGGATACATTGAAGGGCCGATAGGAATCCCAGGTTACCGTAAACAGGAGCTCGTCCGCCGACCCGTTTAAGAACTCAGCGCCGGAGTAAAAGAGCGGCACGATCAAGCACCGCTAAGGCTAACTGACAAAAACAAAGACAAACAGCAGTTCACTCAGGTGCCGAAAGTTACCTACACTCGCTTAGGACTTAGCCCATGTATCTAACCCCGTCTCTAAGCTTCGGTGAACCTAATGTTCAATAATATTTGTGAAAACCGAACTTCATCATAAATAAACTATTAATTTAAATATTTGAATGCAGCAACAAGGCAAACAGAACGAAACGAAAATTACTTCCAGGGGTGGTACAGTGACCCGGAAGCGGAAGTAACGTTTGCCCCCGTAGTGTCTGTCTGTCTGAACCACGTGTAAAGGAGTGAGCGATAATCATGAAACGTCCAAGTAAGAAAAACCCATTACTTGCTGTTTTTATGTTTTACATACAGTTTGTTGTTGCTTCAGAGTTGGTTGGGAATTATGTCAGGCTTGATTTGTTTTCCATTTGCAAGTTATACTGTTATTGATTATGTTACGCGTTAATCCAGCGTTGATTCGAAAACTGCTCACGTAGTGAATACGGTCATTTTCATGTAGGTAGACTTTGGGGTTAAATAATTTAATTGTTGATACTTTTCAGAGTTGAAGAAAGCGAGCAAACGATTGTCATGTGGAAAACGTTACAAAATACAGAAAAAGGTAAGTTTTATATAAGTATTAGGTATGTTTTGCGAGGTTTTATTTTCATTTGTTATCTTAAGATAATTTTGCAGTGTACAAACACACACCGATGCACCAAAACATGATGTGAATACGGCCTGTGCTGCATGCCGAGCGGCATTTTACGCTGTCGCCGTTATACTCATCGTGGCACCAGGCGCTATTGAACATTTCTCTGCTCGTTCTGGACAACTCATCGCCGACAGGCTTCCTTTACTCAGCGTGCTGTTGATTATAATAAACTCCGTACTCTAGTACAGACTCCACTTAAACCACAACTTAACTGCGCAATTACGAACGTTCGCTCCATCTCCCCAAAGTAATTGGTTCTCAATGAACTGATCATGGGTAACAATGTTGAATCCTGGTAGCCAGCGGGCGATTACTATGCATTGAATCAGTTCATTCCCCCTAATTTCAGTTACATATGCAAACCTACTGGACGTGGTAGTGGTCTTGCTGTAATCTCAAGATGAGAATTAACTTTAGTTAATCTTACTATGGTTACATCTTTTGAATATCTTGCATTTGAATTGCCCTCTATTACAGTATTGCTGATTTACCGTCCAAAGCATAGTCCTACATTTCTCTCTGAACTTTCTGAACTCCTTACCGCCTCCATCTCTGTCTCCTCATGTCTGCTATTTAGTGGTGGTATTAATATTCATGTTGATCAACCTGACAACGAAGCTTCAGATGATGTCCTTTCTCTCCTTGATTGTCACCGCATTACACAGCATGTGTCATTCCCTAACCACTGTAAAGGCCACACACTTTACTTACATCTTCTACACAGTGGTACAATTCGTGGGTCGAGTTTGGTAGAAGGAAATGGTTTGTACATTAAACTGCTCACTAGACAGTCTGTGGAATATCTTCAGTAACTGGACAATGATTTCTGTAAGAGACATTGCTGTTGAATTTTTCAAATATATTTTTTTTGGAGTTTTAATTCCCACAGGAAGGATGTCATTCACTCCCATTATATTTGAGAGAAGACTGACAATATTACAAAAACTAGACATCTCCCAGCAGAACGACCTAGATGGGTATATAGCACTAAAGCCCCTCTAAAACATATATATTTCTTCAGTTTCAGGGTGAACAGACTCTTTAAATTCCAGTTACAATGTCTTTATTTGCTTTCTGAATATAAATGTTTTTAATATCACATCTAGTTTTGTTTATCTGTGTGCCCCCCCCAGTGAATTCCTTCAAATTTGGGTGCAGGTAGCACCATAAGTAAGCTAATTAATATTATTTTAACCAGTTCCTTGATCTATATCCCCTGCACCAATAAGTCACATTGTAATATTTCTTATATAAACCTATCTGATGAGCCTTGCAAAAAGACTTTATTCTAACATAAGAACTGTAAGCAGGGTGCCATAAAATGGTGTCGTCACGCCCCGCTCCGTCCGCTCCCGATGTGTGCCACGCCCACCTCATTACCTCCTGTTTTGCCCTGATTGTTCTAACCTGTGGCTTGTTGTCCGTGGCTTGTCTAGTGTATTTAGTCCTTGTCAGAGTCAGTTATCCCCAGATCAGTCATTGTGTAGTGTCCGTTGATGTCCGTGCTTGTACGTCTGCCTGCTATTAAACCCCGTTACCCTGACTACCTGGCTACGCTCGCCTGCTTCCTGCCTGCTCTACCCGCGAGCGTGACAGGTGTTATCAGGCTTTATAACAAGAATAACCCATAATCTTTTTAATGAAGTTAAAGGGACCCTATTATGCTCATTTTCACTGCTCATAATTTTTTTGGGGTGGTTACTAGAATAGACTACACGCTTAAATGTTCCGAAAACACATTTTTCTCATGCTGTACATCAATATTCACTCAGTCTATAGCTGTATGAAACACACTGTTAGAGCCCTACCTCCAATGAACCTAGTGTACTCTGATTGGTCAGCTTGTCCTACACGTTCTGCCCCTGTCTTGCACTCTGCAGACAAATCCTTGCAGGTAATAAGGCAAATGATTGTGTTATGAGATGACCTCACCATGTTACAGAGGTAAGGGCAGAAAATTCCAATGAGGCATTTCAGGCAGATTAGAGAGGAGTGATCTCTGTTGTGAGAATTATGCCCTTTGCCATGTACTTTGGACCTTAAGACTTTCCAGACTGCTTATACGCACATAAAGCCATATACCACACTAAAGGAGACAGAAAAACCAGAAAAGCATAATAGGGCCCCTTTAATTATTTAATTATTTTTACCTTTGAATTTCATAATATGGGTAAGGGAACTAGTTCAATGGTTAGAGTCAATGCTATGATTGTGTTCCAAAACTTCACCTCTAGGCCTTCTTAATCCTGTAGTGCATCCCAGTTTTTTTTCGCAGAACATTTTGCCTGGGTTAGAAAAACCAAAGTTACAGAATTATGTTCCTCACAGTAGCAGCCTGGTATTTGTATTTTTTGATTCAAAGCATTATTACCATAGAGATGTGAATTATAATTTTAATATTATTCATCATTATGTGAATGACTTTTTGTTAGGTTCGGGAGCACAACAGGAAACTACGAAAGGAGGCAAAGAAGAAAGGAGTAACAAAAAGAGTGAAGAAGGATCCTGGAGTCCCCAATGTTGCACCTTTTAAGGAGGAAGTTCTGCGTGAGGCAGAGCAGCGGAAACTGATGGTGAGTTCAGCATGGTTTAGATGTATTCTACGTAAACACTTCGCTATGTTAGATACCTAGGTTACTTAATATTTTGTCCATCACAGACAGCACTGGACACAAAGCAGGAGTACTGCACCAATATATTTCTGGGCCTATTTTTAAATGATAAATGACTCTTTCACCTCTTATCAGCTTGAAGAGCTCAAAGCAAAAAAAAAACTTGAGAAGCAAAAGGAACGGGCAGAGAAACGGAAGAAAGAGGCAGCCAGTCCTGAGGATGATCCGAAGCCGAAAAAAGTGAAGAAGGTGAACAGACTGCAGTAAACTAACATGACGGCACTTTATAAACCATTTGGCTTGTTGTCTAGGCTGAAGGCTATTTTTTTCAGGAGACCGCAAAGAATCCAGAGAAAACATCCATGGACAAATTCTCCAGAAAATTCCTCTGCAGTGAATTGAACAAGGTGAGGAAGGTCATTGTGTTGCTTTTCAGTGTGTTTTTTTTCAGGTTAGCCAAGCAACTCAAAACTGCAGTGTTCCTTTTAATATTCCAATTTCTCTGCTTCTCTTCTGGTTCAGTACATGAATTTTTCTTTCTATTGCTTGAATTTCTTTTTATTACCAACCTCCTGGGTGAGCAGATATACTGTAGATGTTCAGGTTCCTGGAGTGTACGGAAGAGGATTAGGGCCACCATGAAAATATTATTTTAATTCTGACTTTAATCTCAGAATTCTGACTTTTTTTCTAAACTCAGAATTCTGAGAAAAAAGTCAGAATTCTGACATTAAAGTCAGAATTCAAATAATATTTTCACGGTGGCCCTAATCCTCTTCTGTAGGAGGGGGAGGGTCACTGACGTTCAAAATCAAGTTTTTGCCAGCAAACATTAACAGATTTGATCCCTGATTGGCTGAGAGAATTCAGATTGCATCTCTCAGCTCAAGTGGTCATCAGCTATTGATACATAGACAGTGTTTTGCCAAATCACCTGTCCCCAGTGATATGAATTGTGTACATTGCTGTGTTGCAGGTCATTGATGCCTCTGATGTAATCATTGAGGTTCTGGATGCCAGGGATCCACTAGGTTGCCGCTGTCCACAGCTGGAGGAGGCAGTGCTGAGATACGAAGGAAAGAAGAAGCTGCTTCTTGTGTTGAACAAAATTGGTAGATCACCTATTGTTCTGTAAACATTTTTGATGATTTAACACTTTATTGACTTAAAGAATTGCTCTAGTACAGGGGTGGCCAATGTTATCCGCAAAGGGCCGGTGTGTATGCGGGTTTTTGGGATAACCTGTAGGTCAGCTGTTCAAACCCAGGTGTGAGGACTCTTCAGCCAATCATTCCTCTAATTAGTAATCTAATTAGGGAGTTGCAGCGAAAACCCGCATACACACCGGCCCTTTGCAGATAAGATTGGCCACCTCTGCTCTAGTAAAACAGTTGATGCATGCATCACTGCTTTCTTTTCAAATTTGTTTAATATCGTTTCATGAAATGAATTTCCTGAAATGCTATTGCACCCATCTTTAGATCTTGTGCCCAAAAAGAATGCAGAGCAGTGGCTGCAGTTCCTACAGCAAGAGATCCCAACCGTGGCCGTTAAAGCATCCACTCTGTTACAGGATAAAACTGTGGTATGTATGTAGTGGGTCACAGCACTCAGAGTGCAAAGCATGTGGCAATATTTGGTTATAAACCAGGAGCCCCAAACATTGGCGATTATAGCAGGATTCGTTTTTTTTTAGCCTTATTTCTTTGGTGGAATAATTTGCACAGTGTTATGCCCTGTGCAACGTTTGGGTGAAAATGACTAAATTTAATAATAAAAAAAAAAAATGTTTGCCTTGAGTTAGCTTCTTCATAAACAGAATTATAATGCATGTCTTAGCAAAAGAAATGACCCAGGAAGCTGGAAAGTTAATCAATTTTGATATATGCAGTTATAGTCAAAAGTCTGGACATACATTTTTGTAATGCATCTGTCTCTATATTTGCTATGTCACACACATAAGATAAAAGGCCTCAAGGCAATTAAATAATGCACATCAAAGACTGCAATGACCAAGAGAAGTGTTCAACATCTCAAAATTCTCTCAAATCTTAGACTCTTCAAAATAATCCCCCATTGCTTCAATGACAGCATTGCAGACTCATGCATTCTTTCAACCAGCTTCCAGATGTAGCCACCTGGAGCTTCTCCAACAGTCCTGAAGGAGTTGTCACAAGTTCTGGGCCCTGGGACTATATCTCTCTTTTTTACAGAAAAGAGCAGCTACAGGGGTAACTAAACCAAGTTCTCTATACAGTCACTACTGATACAGTGACTGAAAATTAAGCCACTCAATGCTGAAGACAACACGCGTGTGCAGCTTGTTGAGTCCGACGGTGTTCAGTCTCAGCTGTCTGCCTATCAGTCTTGATGTAGTCTTGGTCTTTATTTTTTTTTATTGGCTGGCAAATTGCAGTGACATTCCAGAAATCTGCTCACATGCCACGATTTGTTTAGGCAACATCTCAGACCGAGCAAGAAGAGTCTTCCAGTGAAAGTTTAGCTTGGAAAAGAACCCACACACCTTGTGGCCTGGTTCCTGGTGTACTACTACGTACACGACCGGCTGAATAATGTACTTTGCTCATCCTCATGTCCGCAGCAAGATAAAAAGAATAGGAGATGGAGTGGAGCTGTTGACCAGACCAGAGGGGTCGTCTGTTATGGTGGCAGCTGTCTTCTGCAGTTACTTGGTGACTTCGCTGCTGTCCATCAGGGGCCCCTCAAAGTTGGTATTGTTGGTAAGAATGCCTAAATCCATTTAGTTTTATTCAGTAAGCGTTACGGAATCAGGATTGCTCGATGGGCAGCTCTGTAGTTGCACACCTCTAGGGTAGGGTGATTGAATCCTGCCCCCCCCCTCCTGCCTTACACACAGTGTTTTCTTCTTCCCAGGCTTCCCCAACGTGGGAAAGAGCAGCCTCATCAACAGCCTGAAGGGCGTCCGTACCTGCAATGCAGGGGTACTGCGGGGAATGACTAGGTGAGTGTGTAAAGGGAGGGGAATGACTGGGTGAGTGTGTAAAGGGAGGGGAATGACTGGGTGAGTGTGTAAAGGGAGGGGAATGACTGGGTGAGTGTGTAAAGGGAGGGGAATGACTGGGTGAGTGTGTAAACGGAGGGGAATGACTGGGTGAGTGTGTAAACGGAGGTGCCAAGACTCTGCTCCATTTTTTCATGGATTAGGGTTCTAAATGAGCCTGGACTTGCTAGTATTTGGAAGCTGACTTGAAGAAATAGCTTTTGTGCTTATTAGTGCTTAAATGTTTCTTTAAAAGTTTGTAGTTTCTGAAGGTTGTGCAATTTAAAAATTAGATTTAACATTCTCCACAGATTTGTACTTGTAAGCTTGGTATAATTTGGTATAACTGCTTCTAATTAGAGGTGTAAAGATGCATCAGTTTATTGTGATGAATTGATTATCAGGAGGCCGATTTAATACATCAGTCTGTAAAATCAGAATCAAATTTTTGGGGGTAAAATAAAAAATGTTGCTGATTCCAGGCTGCATGCTTTTGCATTCATGTGCTGCAGGTAGTCACATGAAGTAGCATGCAAATTTCCAAAACATAAGGTGGCAGGGGAAGATTAATTAATATTCATGAAGCAGGCACAACCTGACTGTCCTTGCTGCATGGCGTGTTTCCGAAACTCGTCGGTTCCATAGCGCAGAATGCTCTAACTAACAGTTAAGATAATTTTTGAGCGTTAGCCTTAGAGATGCGCGGCGCATGCTGCTTTGTTTGTGTTTCATTAATAGTGTGTAATTAATCATGATAGGAATGAAATTTGTGAGTCATTCCCTCAATAGTCGTAGCTGACTCAAATTGCCTTGGTGTCAACAATTTACACCCATTCTACAAATAAATGAATATTTTTGTTAATCAGTGCCTTCTTCCTCTTTTTTAGATGCAAGCAAGATATCCACATTTCTAAAAATGTCAAGGTGATTGACAGTCCTGGTATCCTAGCATCTCCGTCTAATCCTGCAGTTACCTTGGCGCTGAGGGACCTGCCGTCTACGGAGAAGAGGGAGAATGTTCTGGATGCAGTCAGAGTCTTGCTGAAACACTGCAACAGTCAGCAGGTGAGGCAGGGAAAAGGCTCTGGGCCCATCTGCTGGGCTCAAGTAACTGTCTTTGGTGAAATGTTATTCATATCTTTTAGTAGCTAGCATGTAATGGGACTTGTTAAAGTTATGATGTGTGTGAGACTCGTTATTTATTTTTCAGGTAATGCTTCAGTATAACGTTCCTGACTTTAAAAACCACCAGGAATTTCTAACCCTTTTTGCCAAGAAGCGAGGATTTTTGCAAAAAGGTGGCATTCCCAATTCAGAGCAGGCTGCAGAAGTATTCCTGTGTGATTGGACAGGGTATGATATTTTTATGCATTACTGTACTGTCATTAACCTGATTTTTTTTTTTGTTGCAAAAAACGCATCCCCTTAAATACATACTGTGCTGCTGACAGAGAAATGAGGAAATTCAAATGTCTTGAGTTCTGGTGAAGACTTCTAATCCAACTCTGATCTCTGGCAGATTTTAAGAATTACTGTGCTGTATAACCCACTAAGTCTGAGACTGGGTTGTATTTTAAATATTTGCATTTGAATAACTTTAAACGTTTTAAAGCAAAGGTATTAAACGTAATCTGATCATTCTTCTGAGCACTTGTTTGAAAGGGTTGTATCTTTTTTTTTTTTCCTGCCAGAGCCAAATTAAGCTACCATTCCAAACCTCCAGAGAACCACGTCCTCCCTCCTTATCTCTCAGACACTCTAGTGGCAGAGATGCAGAATGGATGGGCCAGTGACAAACTTCAGCAGGGCAATATGGAAACCATTAAGAGTAAGCTTTTGGGTGGCTTTGCCTGTGCAGGTTGTATGTGTGATGCTGTTAAAGGTGTTTTGTGAACATACAGGGTGATTGATGGGTCAGACTATGAATCCAGTGTCTCTCTGTCAGGTGTGAGATGTCCCAATCCAGCAAGCAGCATTGCCTTCATCTCCAGTGGACCCACTTGTGGACTTCTCAATATAGATGATGTATGTGAAGTAAAGGGGACAGAGAGTGAGACAGTGGAGGAGGAAGAAGAAGAGGAGGAGGAAAAAGTATTGGAAACCCAGGTGTGTATCTTATCAGCAAAATACCGCAAAATAATAACTTGTGTTTGTGTGTTTGGAAAATATTTATTAGTCTCAGATCAGAGTCAGATAAAATTTTTGAGAAACAAAAAAATGAACAGATTCACCAGTATGAATACTGTCTTTTTCATTATATCATTTATTAACACTATTCTTATTTTTAGCCTAGACTTGATTTAAAAGAAGACAAAATGAGAAAAAGCCAAGCAAAAGGAGAAAAAGTAAAAAAAGCAGCAGGTATGTTATGAGACTCGTAATGAAACTGTGCTTTCTGCTAATGCTGGGAAGGACGCTTTGTCTTTCTGTAGATCTGACTTTGTTTCTTTTTCCCGACTCTGCATCCAGCCCAGGTGACGTTTCAGTCCCTCCCTGTCAGTATAGACCTCACTTCGGCACAGAAAGACGGCGACGCGTATGACTTCAATGTGGATTTTAAATGAAGAGATCCAGCCCAGAGCATTTTCCTTATACACCCTTACTAAGTAATCTGGTAAACAAACCACGTTTTAAAACCAATTGGAAAAAGCTGGTTATTCTGCTTTGGTTACAGAAAGCTGGATATGTAGCCTGTCAGATTTCTTGCAATCTAACTTTCAATTCCTGTAACATCTCAGTACATGAAAAAAAATCATACTGGCATACTGGGACTCCTGAATATGTGAAGGTAACTTTTTAGGCAGCCCTTTGCATTTTGAGTTTTGTATCACCTGTATATCAAAAACCTTGCATTCACAAACTGTAATTTAACCCCCCCCTCGCCCCGCCCCAAAACAAAAAAATGAAAACACGTTGTTTATTTTGTGCCTTTACTGTGTATCCATCAGAAATATGACCTAAAACTATCAACTTGCTCTTTTTGCTTTTATCCAACTCATAATCAGAAAGCAAAAGAGTAATTCATTTTAACCTCAGTCCACTTTTTAACTTGACTTCAGGCCTTGAGTATATAATGTCGGGGTTCCCAACCTTTTCCATGACTTCTGACTGGCATATGATGTGCAATTTCACAGGCTGGAGGATTTTACATGATTAATTGAAAAAAGTCCTCATCTTCAAAGCTTGTTTGCAAACAACATTTTTTTTTTTTTTTTGCCAATTTCTGCTTACCATTGATGGCTCCAGGGGGCCCTGGGGATGGGGATGGGGGGGGGTAGGGGTGATGCTGGGCCAGATTTAATAAGATTAATCGTTTACATTTTTTCTATGTGATCAGAATGCAAGTGAACGTCAGGCATCATAAAAAAGGTTTGGCTTGAAAACAGTCGCCCCTCCAGATTTGCAGATTTCACATTGGCAGTTTTGGTTATCGGTCATGAACAATAACATGGGAATTTTCTGGCAGCTTGCTGGAAGATTGCAGAAACTTGCAGACAAACGCATAAGCCAAAATTAATAAAGGATACAAAAAATGACTGCGATCACATAAAATCATACATAAATGTGTTAATATTTTTAGTGTAAATTCATGCTGTATCTTGAATAACTTTTCATCTGTCTCAGCGACCAGCCTCACTCGTGTTAGCTGTCTCTGTGATCGTGAAATCTTGCATTTCTTTCAGTAACTTTTAAACTTTCAGTATCATTAATTTTGCATTTCTAATAATGGACCCAAGAATTTTTCATGAATTTTCACATTTGCTAAGCTCTTCTGTCCCTAACCCTTGAGAATGTGAAGGGGAGATTATATAGTTTATTTCTGGAAATTAACCTCTCCCCCAGACCTCCAGCATTTTGCAGCCCAGTGGAATACTAGAAAACTCAAGTGTAACAGACTTTATTAACAAGCAGTGATAGATCCACTTAAACTGAGCTGGAGAAACAGGTACAAAATACTTTTACAAAAACTAATCTTTGGACTACATGGAAGCATTCTGCTTCTATGATTATGGTACCAGTCAATATATAGTAAGTCAGAGCATTGTTTGATGTCAATAAGTAGATAGCTTTAAGGAAGGCAGTCAATACAGAATGGTAAATCACATTTACTGTGTCTGATGCAGAAGGACAGTCCCTGGTATGAATAAGATCATTCCTGCTGATGTGTCAGATTCTCAAGAGGAGTGACACTCATAAGGTACAGACGCTCCTCTACTTACGAATGAGTTACGTTCCGAACTGCTGTTCGTAAGTCGTTATTCAACATCATTTTAAGGGTATATGCAAGTACAAAGAACTAGGATGCTGGGAGTACGCACATTACGCTGCTGTGCGGCGGGAGTAGTGGCCAGAAGTCGTACTAGGCGGAATTGGCACGCAGAAAAAATTAATTGATGTTGCAGACAGGAAACGGGAGCCCAAGGAACACAATTTGGACTTGCAGTCCTCTTCGTTCGTATGTCTGAAAGTTCGTAAGTTGAAAGTTTGTAAGTAGAGGAGCGTCTATTTCAATAATGACAATTTAAAAAATGTAAAATGCATTATCTTCTACAAAAAAAATACACAAAGATTTCACAGTGTTTAAACCTTAACCTATGCACTTCAATTATTTCATAGTGCAGAGTTAGGTATTTCTAATGTTTAAATTTTCTCCAGCTATAAAATGAGATTTCTATACATGGGTGGTCATCTGTTTATTTGTCTATAACGGTACATTTAAAAGTAAAATGAAAAATATAAAAGTATCTTTACAGTTTTGCTTTTATTCACATTTGAGGTCCTTAATTCCACTTGCATAACAGAAGGCACAGACTGGGTGAAGTCACTAGGTACCCCATTCCCTAGACACTACATCCTCAAAGAATTTCAGTTGCCGCACCATCACAGCATATGCCTTGTAGGTGTCTTCTCCCATTTCTTCTCGGAGACACAGCTGGGAATGAGAACACAGATGTAACAGAATGCAAAGGTCTCACTGAGAAGGAAGGAATCTCATAATAAAATCACAGTTATACTGTGATAATCCTAATGGACAGAGTAGTGTAATTCAATGGCATCATTGTTCACACTTGCCTCTCTCTTGCCCTCATCATCTTCCTCCATAATGTCCAGAACCCTGTTTAAAAGTTTCACTCCCAGTCCCTTCGCTACATCAGTCCGTAAGCGTTCAATCGCTCTCATGATCTTTGTACGACCCGATGTAGTGTCTGCAGAAAACATGCAAGATGATGATATTTAGGTGAAGTCTATGTATTAGATATTTGCTGCATTTTAGTGACACTTTTAAGACATATTGTATGGTCTTTAAGTAGTGCTCAGCAAATATCTTGCATCAGGATAAAAATCTCAGTAATTCTTTAATAATTACATCAGATAAAATGCATGCCCAGGAGCAATAAAATGTGAATATGTTGAACAAATTACATGGGACCACATTACACTGGCATATTTTAAGCAGCTCAGCTCCTGATGGCAAATTATAAAATACTCATAATGCTGTTTTAATTCCACCGTGTTATAAAGAGATGAATATGATGGCAGACCTGAAGGGAGTTCACTCAAGTGAAAATCCACTTGATCCAATTTTGCCTTCCCATGCAGAACCAACGTGTCTCTGTACTTCCTGTTCAGCTTGAACTCGGGCACTGACGTGGCATCACAACCAGCTTTTTCTGTGCCTGGATCTCTGGAATCCATTCTTAATGTTTGTGTCATCAACTGAACTAGGTCCTGCATTTCAGTAGATTGGCTCTTTCTGGAGTACATGATCAAAAACCCAAAGTCAGTGTAGTAATATATGAGTGGAGACATAACATTGGAAAAGGTTTGAAACATTTACACCACGGCTACTTCTCAATATCAAGAATGCAAAGGTCGTATTTGCGATCCTAGCTGGAGCGGTCTTGCTAACTTGCCTTTGCAAGAACGAACTTGGCATGCAATGAATCATGGGATTGTTCTCATTTAATGAGGAGGCAACCGATGCATCCTTGATATTTGGGGTGGGGCAAGAATGACATCCGGGGATTTCTACCATACTCTGCACTTCTGTTCTTAGTATTGGAGCTGGTCTTCGGCAATGGAAGATGTAAAATTGGTATGCAAGAAGCCAAGTATGGATATTGGGAAACACCCCAACTTTCAGGCAAACTGAATTAAGGACTAGAATAAATTGCAAACTGCCATTTATTAGAATTAATTGTGTATTATTATAGTGGACATGCTCTATACACTGAGGGATTAGCTAAGGTCTCCCACCTTTCTTTGTGTTCTCCTTCCAATGGGTCCGTAGAACTGGTAGAGGAGCTGCATTCATCTTCCTCTGACTGCTGTTGTGACAACCTGCTTACCTGCAGGGACAGGGAGCATGTCTTCAGTGTCACTAAGAATTAAAATACCATCATGCACCATAATGTTTTTAATACAAAATGGCAGACTATGCTCAAGGATGTAGGGAGAACGTTAACAAATGACCTTGTTTGTTTTGCTGGGGGTATCGGATGCAGTGCAGTTAACAGCAGCTTCCTGAATGTGAGAAGGTCTTATGTCTGAACTGGGAATATCACATGATGTTGGCCTTGGTGCAGGAACACCTTTAGAAAGAAACATGCTCCGGTTTTTCTCTATTTTAGCAATTAGGATTATGAACAGAGATTTGTTTTAAATATCTTACCAGCTAAGTGACAGAAATCTTCCTGGGACTGCTTTAGTCTTCTTCGTTCTCTAGCAGACAAGGGACGATCCTAAAACAGATCACGTTCAATAAAATTAACCACATCTGTGCCTTTTATTGATCTTATTGATTAAGTAAACAAATGCAAATCTATGACCCCCTACCAGTGATTGTTAGGAAAAAGTGCAAAATCTGTAATATCAATGGGAAAAATGGCCATATAGATGCCTAAATTTCCCTCGGGATCAATCAACCAGCCAAATAAACAAACAAACAAATAAATATGCATGCATCTTAATGTAAATTTCTACTACTATTTTGAAGAACTTTAAATTTTAAGATCTTTGTATTGTGACTATCGCAGCAACAATAAGAATCCGTTTCCTAAAAAAAAATTATTTACAAAAAATTGGTTTCTGGAAACTTTTTCATAAAAAAAAATATGTCATGTGAGTTAAAGTAAAAGAGCAGTTATAGGAATGGTGAGGCAGTCCATTCTCAATGCTCATATTCCTCATCCTCACATGTGACACTGCAACACCAAGACGTCTAGAACCAGGGATGCCAGATGAGGATGACGTCTGTGCCTCCATGGAGCTCTGACTCCTCTTCACATTTTCTGCAACAAAACCACCAGAGGAAGGTGGCAGAGGCCCGTGAAGGGCCGTCTTAAACAAAGAGATGTGAAGACACATTACACATGGAATGGGACTGCTGCTCCAACCACAGATTAACACTGAACTTTTCAGAAACAAAAGAACACAGCATTAGATTGTGAAGTGATAATGTTAGACGTATGCAACTTAAAAAAGACATGTTAAAATGGTATGGATTTTGTAGGCACTACATTTTAAGATATTGATTTCTTGTTGATTTGAAGCCCCAAGAACTTAAGGACATGTAAGCATCAGTTATACTGCATTCTTTGCTATACCCACCCTGTCCTCGTTGTCATTTCCCCTGTTTTCCCACATTTTCTCCCTGTTCCTCTGTCTATGCAAACAGGATACAGAAGGTTCAGAAGTTGAGGAAGGAGGCTGCAGCTTAGGAGATGGAAGACTGGGTAGCAACTCATGAGCAGAATGCTCCTAAATAAGTAACAGGAACAAAAAAAAAGGAAACACCTGAATAATGTTGCACTCAACATACATCACTGATAGGACATATGGCACAAAACAGGGAGAAAAAAACATACTATAGATGCCCACCTCAATTATAACAGATACAAGGGGCTCCAAAAGCTTTCCTGTTGAGTCCAAAATCTCCTATAAAGAGAATATTTGTGTCCAAGAGTTAAATTGCTAGTAAGTCATTTGAGCCAAGTAAACACATATATATACACACACACAACACCTTTTTCAATTTCATGAAAGTACTGGGTTTATAAACCTTGACATGAATATCTTCTGAAGCAGGTGCTTCTTGGAGCAGCTTCAAAGTATCTTCATTCTGAGGTTCAGGGGATGCTGATGGTCCACTCTTTACTAGGTTGCCAGGTTGGAGGACAGCATCCCTCACAGGAACATCCTTTGGCTCTTCATTAGTCCTGCTGTCACTGGTCACTATCTTCCTATTGTGTGTCTCAGATGATGAAGGCTGTGTTTTCCTGCTTTTCCTCTCTTCGCCTGGCTTGGCATCAGAATGGATGTGGTTTGGCGCTACCAGAGTTTGAGGTTGTGCTTTCAAGTGCTTTCTATTTTCCTTTGAAGTTAGGATGTCAATATCAATGTTGCTCACACTAGCCAAGGATGCCCCTGTATTGTTAAGACTGTCTTGTGGGAGAGCTTCTGGGGAATACTCTTTTGGGGATGGAAGGGCCTCATTCGCTGGCCTGCTGCTTTTGTGTTGTGGCAAATAGTTTACCTCCCTCTGCGAAATAACAGCAAAGTGGTCATGAGACGAACACTATAAAACTTAATGTGTTTGCTGCCAGACATACCAGGTACAGGAATGGAAGCTGGAGTGGAAAGGGATTGACATCTTACCACTTTACCCTTCTTGGATATATCAGAGAGAGGCTGGTTGTGAGCCTCAGGTTTTGAAAGCGGTGGCGCCAGAAGTGAAGATGCACTATTTGGCTGGCTACTGAGAACCTTCTTCTTTGATTTGGCAGTTTTTCTAATGTCAAGAGAGCAAGAAAAGTTTTTGAAAAAGCAACTCCACAGTTCTTAATGAACCACGCACTGAAATGAAACATACGTACTCCTTCGTTGCTTCTAAAAACAAAGAGATCTGCTGCTTGATGTACGGCTGCCGGAGGATGTGCTTGACATCAGGCCTCTCCTCTGGCTTCTTACTCAGCATGGATCTGATCAGCTCTCCCAGCTGTGGGTTGTATTTGCTGGGCATTTGAGGCAGCTGAGAGTAACAGAAAAACAGGCATTGCTGATGCACTACAGTGATCCTGCAGCAAATAACACACATTCACATTCCAGCCACCTATTTCTGACACACAAAACTCTAAATGCTCACCTTTCCTTCAACGATGCGATACACCAGGGAGTTCATATCCTTCGCATTGAAGGCATGCTTCAGAGTGGCCATTTCATACACACAGCAACCCAGCGCCCAAATGTCAGACTTAGAGGGAAGAAAATGGGTGAAAACTGTCAGAGTTTAGTAAATCTTCCTTAATCCATCACTAATTTAATGAAAATATAAGCATACAGTTTATGAAACTGTTTATTCCCAAAAAGCAAGCATTCGGCTGAGGGAGGAGTACCTTGTAGTTGTACGGCTTGTTGGAGAAAAGCTCAGGGCTCATATAGTAGGGTGTCCCAATTAAAGTACTGGCCATGTCGTTCTGGTTTTCTAGCACTCGAGCAATCCCAAGATCTCCAACTTTTATTATGTTTGTCTTGGTCAGAAAGATGTTCTGGGTTTTCAAATCTCTATGCAAGATGTGTTTTTCATGCAGGTACTGTACATCGGCAGAGGACAAACAATAAGCACTGAATCTCATAAGAAGTCTGTAAATTAACTTCTAATGTTGTGGCTTTTAATATGAGCAAAGACAGATCATGCAGTTTTATATTAGTTGATCAAAATCAAAGCAATGCACACCTGTAATGCCATGGCGATTTGGACAAACCACTCAACCACTTGTCTCTCTAGAAGAAGTTCGCCCTTCTGCTGCTTCAGCTTGTGGTAGAGATCCCCCCCTTCACAGTATCCCATGACGATGTACAGATGGCAGTCCTCCCCCTCCCAGGACTCCCTGTATGTCACAATGTTAGGGTGTCGCAGCTGGGACAGCAGCTGTGCTTCCTGTTCAGCAGATCTCCTCTCACGTTTTGATGACATTCTTAAGTTCAACTTCTTGATGACGTACTAATATTGAAATGAATAAATACGTAAAAATCAATCAAAACTTTTATCAATATGTACTTCACTGACATTATTGCGGATACGGGGTCTTAAACTTCCCTAAAACATGAAGGAGCAGGAGAAGAAAGCTATTTATTTCTAAATAAATATTTCTAGTTTTATGTGCTTCAAATGGGAATACCTTTTTCCCGCAAAAAAACACTGTCACCGTGTCACAGCAGTTACCAAATTAAAACATTATATTAGCAAGTAAATCAACCATCTGGCCAGAAGGGTAGAATAATGAAACAGGAGGATGACAATGTGACCAAAAAGTCAATCCGAACAGATAATTTCCCCCCTCCGTGTGTTGCAGGACTCGTACACAAATTAATTCCAACGCAACAAAATAAATCTAATGCAGAAAACCAGTTGAATGAACGGAAGCCGTTAACTATGTAGCAACTATATAGCAAGATCGTTTAATTTATTCCAGTCCGGCATATAACTAATGGTTCTTTTAAAAGCAGTTATTTTATGTTTTTGGTGTCCAAAGTGAGCATTCGGTCATACTATCATGCTGACTGGCTATCTAAGTACATTACTGAAAATATTCCTGGCTATTTACATCAATAATTAAATTCTTATATGTAATTTATATCGCATGCTTAGCTATGTGTAAGGATATAACTGGTTAGCTTCCTAACACATTAACATTAAGATAGGTAGGAATACCTGTTTTCCTTCTGTTCTGTGTCTGACCAAATTCACTTCTCCGTAGCTCCCTTTTCCCACTACCCTAACAAAAGTATAACTCTCCATAATTCTTCACCGGTTGAGCTGTCAACACCTAAACTTGTGATTTTCTTTAATCTAGTGATACATTATAACATACACATAAACATTCTAAAAACCCTCCAAAATTAAGACGGTAGGACAGGAAATTATCAGCAGCTACGCTGTTGCCAAGCAACAGGCATCATTCCACCATCGACTCCAGGCCTTGTGTGATTTTCAGAGTCTCGGGATTTCACACACCGCCACCTATCGGAGTTGGTGGGGCGTAGTTCAACTCGTAGACATTATTTGTCGACTATGCGGTGGCATGTAATGTAAAGAAAAACACAAGAATGAAAGAATAAATGAACGAAAGAACGAATGATAACAATGTTGAAGAAGAAAAATAACAATATAAAAATGCGAACTTTAATTGGCATGCTAGGAGATATACAGCACCACTTTCATGCATAAATGTGCGAGGAAATAGTTATTTTTAGTCTAATTAATCATATATGAACAAGCAATAAGAACTGTATGCTATATCTACAATAAATATGACTAGATAAAAATATGTTTAAAACTGTTGTTCGCCAGAAGGTGGCGATGTAAATCTTTTCCATATTTGAAATTTAAATTTTGTTGCCGTTTAAATTTATATAAATGTTTCTAGCGTATTTGTTTAATACGTAGAATTCATTATTCTTATTCTATCCAGTTTACTATTACTTTTTTAGATAAATATGTTTCAGATTTGCAACAATAAAAACCTACATTTGGCAATTGGGATCCCTTCGAAGTACAAGGCATTTTAAAATGTAAAATAAAAAGAAAATTGATTGTTATTTTACATGAACTTAAGTTTGACTCAAAATTTAGTCTACATGCTTCTATTTTTATCTACATTTCAGTCTGAAGAGACAAAAAAGTTGTACCTGTGTAGTTAGAAATGGGTATTATATCTAATTATGGGTGTATATAGGTAAAAAATTAATGTGTGTGTTGAATTTAAATTGTAGGTTTATTTGTAATGTTTGTAGTGTGAAATTGAAATGAAAGATGCTGCGATTACCTGGAATCATGATGTTTTAAAACAGGTTTTTCAGAAAAGAGAATGCCATAAGGAAGTTGCATGTTTCAGTGGCAATTTACTCCTCCTCCGATGAACTGTTGGTGCAGGGACGTAGTAGCATCAAGCAACCCAGTGATCCAGACCAGACTGCACGGACTTGTGGAGAGAGAGGGAGGGAGATCGCCGAGCTGCCTCAGTTTCTGCAGGTATGATGTTTCCGAGCTGTTAGGGACGTTACACTTCGGTACTGATTACATTGGCTGGCTAATCTGCTACATCATAGATCAAGTTATTGGTTATAAAACATGCGCACCTTCGCAATATTTATATAAACACGTGATAAATACGATAATTCCCATTTTGTGCATAGTCATGTAGTTTAATAACATATTTAACGCGTTATATCGAAAGAAACACTGGGGTATCGAAGTTAAGGTCAGTGTATTGCCCACGCAATCATGCAGTTTTGTACAATTTTATGTTTCAGCAATGTTATAAGGTTTTTACTTTATATTTGAAAATCTCGAAAGAAACCTAGCTGGTATGTGCTGGCGGGATATCTGTCTTAAATAGGTTATGTATGTGTTAACAGAATTGACGGCTTGTTAATCGCGTTTTTGTTAAACGCCTGGATACCGCTTAAGAGATCATCTGTACACTGTTATATGGTCCCCGGCAGTGGTATGCCATGTTTTTACAAGGACTTGCTAGGAATATTTAGCAGGTACATTTGTGGCTCATTAAGTTAAAGCAATGCCAAATGGGCACCATTTTACACTGAAGGAATGCGACGACCATCTTTTCTAATGAAATTGTTATGAGCATTGATCTTGAGATCTGGACATTTGTTTCCAAAAATCATTGCACAATACGACAATGTGCTCTTCTTATTATAGGACTAAATGTTCAGAATAAATTATGGTGGATTGCTCGTTAGATTTGATCTATGTATAGGCTCCATCTAATTATATTCATATTACATATGTAAAACACGTATGTGAATAAAACGTACAGAAATGTAAGTATAACAAAAGTGAACCCATATATGCACGTGCATCGGCATTTCGACTTTTGGCTCTGTGCGTGATTTAGACGTTGTAATAGTGTTCATCTTATCAATTAATCACTCCACTCTGGAAAGGCTTCACTTATCAGTAATTGATAGGCTACCTGACTGCCACTTCAATGATGCAGATGCCCTATGCAGTAAGTATTAGGTGGACCGTTAAGCATCAGGAAATCACAACTAAGTCACACCGTGCAATTTCGTATTCAACTTTTTTGCTAAACTTTTAGTATCTATAAATAAAACAAGGTGACGATGTACAATAATAACCACTATGCAACTGGATCATGGTGGCCCAAATTCCACTGCTTTATGCATTCCAACAGAATACATGTGTTCTTGGTTTTGGTAGCAGTGTGAGCTATTGTGATGACTACTGACTATTGAAAATGATGTATTTATTAAAAAATAGTTTTAAATACTGAATCCACAAATGCTAATTGTTTTGTATGGCCATAAATCTCATGGAGCTGTTGTGTTAGGAGTTGAACAGTACACTGTATATCTCACTACAGGTCTAGATAGTGTTTTTTAATTTCATCCACTCATGGGTGTAAATTATGGGGTGCTGGGGGTATAATCAAAATCAATAACCAATCATCAAAACCAACAAATTCAACCCCCTGGACCACCGAGACTTCAGCCCCCCTAATAATCAACCCAAACTTATGCCCTTGCATCCAGTTTGTGGAAATATGTTTGTTAAATATATTAGTTTTAGTTTCTATGAATAATGATTCACATTTTGTTTTGGTAACGATATAATTATTTCATGGTTTGTTGTATGTTTTTTTTTTTTTTTAATGGAGCAAAACACTTAGCAGTCTGTTGTCATGTCTCTGTCATTTGCTGACAATTAAATGTGTGGAGTGTCAGTAGAAAAGTTTACTGATTGTATTATAATAAGTCGGCAATGGAAGCATGCACAATTTAAGTACGTGCTATTGCATATATTTTTATACAGTTTTTAGCAATCGCATAATGCTGTTTTATATGTGCTTATTGTAAGCTTTTTAAAAGACTTTAAATTTCTTTTAATTGAGATTTGAGCATTTGAGGTAATGTAGAAATATTACATGCGTGTGAGGTTTATGTTTCATATGCGCTACTTGTTTTGCTGAATTCATTTAAGAGCTGATCTTGGACAAGTCATGATAAATCATTTCCCCCCTAACAATACATTATCTCCACCACCAGAGACAAAGATGGGTTACAAAAAGACTCAGAATATCAACAGCAAAACATAGGGTTACACTGTATGTTATATAGGTTTGTAATATACACTGCAATATCTTAAAATCAAAAAGCTGAAAGAAAAGCAAAACGTTCACAGTTTATCGTCGTACAGTTTTACATCTATCATACCTAAAGACATTTATATTAAATCCATCATAATGCTAAATTGCCTGGTGAGGGGAAATAAAACATGAAAGTATTTCATAATTTATCCTGGAGACAATAATATACAAAGTGATTTTTTTTAAGCTATAATACTTGGGTCTTGTATTTGCAACTTGTATTGGACTTTATTATTTTGTCTGAGTACAGGGCTGGATCTCAGACAATAAATAGACTGTCAAATATTTATGGAGTGATAGCTTGTTATTAAGTGCAGATACTCTGCAATCACTCTCACAGGAGGAATATACTGAAATAGAATTTTTGTTCTGCTTCACCTGTCAGTATTAATTATTATTGATGGAGGTTTTTAATACTATACGACCCAGAGACACTCATTTCTGATAGAAAACAAAGTGTTTTAGCATACAGTTTAAATTAAACCATTTTCATTTAATATTTTTTATATTTCTATATTTTTATATTTCTAGTTTTCTAATTCGTAGGGCACTAAGTAAAACCATTTCTTTTATGTATTTTTTCTGTCTCATGTTGAAAAAACAATGCCCAGTTGTGACTAATACAGAAACAATTTGGTAAATAATCTGGAAAAGCTGTTCTTTTAATAATTCAATTAACAAATTTTACAAGTGTAAAGAAGAAAATTATGGATTTAAAGAAAGTATTAGTCCACTTAGTAAAGCTGTGTCCAGTTTAAATAAACTATTGTTACTTAACACCTACTGTACTGAAAACAACACCTATGTAATTTGTCATCTTTTAAGTTGCACCATCTTTTAACCAAACACGAGCTGTAGCTAGAGGTCCATTAATTTACACCTATTATTTTCCTACAAGAAATTGTGATTTTTGTGGCTTTTTAATTCTGGAAAAGTACAAATTTAGTTTCCTTTCTATTGTAATTGATTTTTACTTTCTATCAAAACTCAATGGCAGCATCAGATAAGAGGTACCGGTTTAATCTGTGGCCATGACAACCGTTACTCTATCAACAGGAGTATTACTGTATAGTGAGGTTGTTACATAGTTACACTCTCAGAAAAAAGGGTACCAGTTTGTATCTTTGCTTGTCAATAGGGCTGTACCTTACAATTCCGTACCTTTTAAGGTATAGAAATGAACTCCCCAAGGTACAAACAACAATAATGTACCCTCAATGGTACAAAAAGATTCCTCATAGTCCATTTCTGTACCTTAAAAGGGTACACTAGCTTGGACTGTTTTGTGCTCTCACTACAGCTTGTGATAGACAGCAATGCAGGGTTGCCAGTGGGAGAACAATTGTGGGGCATTAAGTGTTTGCCAGTTGTGTATCCTCTCTTGGAAGACATTGAAACTGAACTGCAAATGCCTCAAAAATGCTTAAGCAAGATGTACAAACGAAGTGGAACAGTGCATTATGTATGTTTCTAGTAGGCAAATTAAAGATTTTTTTTGGCATACATTTTTTCATTCGTATTTGTTCTAAAAAACAATAATATATAAAGTATATATGGTTATATATATTAATTATATTTAAATATTACAGTAAAAAGAGCTCTTGTATCGGAAGCTGTTGACAGTTATGTTTCAGGATTGGATCTGAACTGAATACAGTTGATCAGCCCATCCCTATTTTATTTACAAAAAAGTAACTACAACAATGCCTGGTTGCCAAATGAAAGCATGGGTTGCTTGAAATGACAGGAGGACAGCTGCAGAAGTTCACCTCAGATTCCACAAATCCCTGCGGCCTTCCTTACCACCAGCTAGTTCATACCCATGCAATCTCAGTGAGTTTGGGTGGCTCACAGCTAATCGGAGGATCAGCCCCAAGGGCTGTTGATAAGGACTGAAATGAATCACATTGTTTTAACAGGATGGACTGCATTCCTTGAATCCCACGGTTTCTGCTACCGTAATAGTAATCCTGTTCCTTGTCTGTCTGAAGACCCTGAAAGTGTTTATCTTCCGTGATGCTCTCATATAAGACTAAACCTTTCCAACCTGTTGTTTCAGTTCTCAAAATGAACCATTTTCAGACAGTGAACACACTGAAACATAGGGAACAGCCTAGATTGGATGCTGCTCCATCACACACTCTCATGCACCAGAGGCAGTTTAGAAACACTAGCTTACCTGATTGTAAGTCTTTTGACTGATGTAGGAAATGGGAGAATGAGCCTAATCTGCATGCTAGCAGGACAGGGGCAGCATTTGAGCTCCCAGCCATGCAGTTGTGAGGTGACAGCATCACCCACCGAACGAACAATGCATGATACACATAGAGGCCAAAGTTTAATAGTTAACGCTTAAACAGTCCCTGTCATGCAAAGTCCTTTATTATCTATTCTATGAGGTAAAATGAAAAGTGAAAACTTTTGCCAACATAAAATGTTAGTCTGCTTCTCCCCCTTTTTGCAGATTTGCCAGCATTTGCCAGACCAAAGAAAGATGCCTCTGGGTGAAGATGGAAATGGGTTGAAGAAGAAAACGTCAGATATTAAAGAGATCTATGACTTCAAAGATGTCCTAGGAACGTAAGTATCTGCCATCAACACTTGAGGAATGATGCAAGTTTGTCACAGTAATTGTTTTAACGGAGTAAAACAATTCTACGTGTACACTGCCTCTGTATACTCTGATGTTCAGCTGAATTTTAATTGATTCTATTTTACATTGCGCTTACTTTTGATATTTAATTATTTGTACAGCAAGAGCATTTCAGGGTTACATTTCACTACATGTTGTACACGTATAACTATGTAAGTGACAAATGAACCTCTTGAATCTTGCATGTTTAGTTTACATTGCATTGTCGTAAGCATCAAGTTTACTTAGTTATTTTTCACAGCCAGTGAAATACTGCTGAGACTAACAGACTAATTTTTACAGAGATGTTTTTATTACAATTTCACAGTTTCCATAATTTTGCAGGAAAATGGGATAATTTTATGTTACAAGATCTTTTCAGATTTGCTTATTTTGGATTATCATGTGAAACAAGACAATTTGGTGAGACCAGTTTAAAAGAATAAGAAAGTAACTTGGATATATATATATATATATATATATATATATATATATATATATATATTTACACAGTAGGTGCTCATATTAAATGCAATTTAAAATGAGGAACAGGAGTCATCATTTCCAGAGCTTGAATGTCTGAGGTTCCTGGAAGCAATCAGACATCTAATAGATTTTATGGATACCCAGTGGTCTCTGTTATTAATCAGTTACTTTATTTACTTTATTTATTTACTAAGATGGAGGCTCTCTTTAGTGAGCCTGGCTTTGTAAGATCTACACATATACGGTATATTTCTGTCAGCTTGTGTTATGTTTCATGTTCTTTTGATGCAAGAGGAAATTTGTTTTTATATTTTGCTATTTAGCGCATTGTGGGAAAACATGGCTGCTTTTTTTTTGCAATGAAAACTGTCCAAAAACTGATAATATGATGTTAAGAATGAGGAATTTCCTCTTGTTTCTAAACAAATGAGCATTCACAAGTTTATATATGTTTTTCGATGTAAATTCTCCTGCACATTCTTCTGCACTTAGACTTGTAAGGTTTTGAAACATTATTTTTTTTATAGTTGTACTTGCACTCTTTTAAGGAAGAATTCCCTAACGTAGTTATAGCAAAAAGTTTCAATGGGCTAGACTTTGTGGCGGGATGGTGGTGCAGTAGTTAGCACTCACACCTCTGGGACCTGGGTTCGAATCTCTGCCTGGGTCACATGTGTGTGGAGTTTGCATGTTCTCTCCGTGTCGCTGTGGGGTTTCCTCCAGATAGTCCGGTTTCCCTCCACAGTCCAAATACATGCTGAGGCTGATTGGAGTTACCGAATCGCCCATACTGTAGGTGTGTGGATGTGAGTGAATGGGGTGTGATTGTGCCCTGCGATTGGTTGGCCGCCCATCCTGTTCCCTGCTTTATGCCCCTAGGCTGTGGATCCCCTACGACCCTGAATAGGACAAGTAGTTTCAGAAAAAGGTTTGATGGGTTAGACTTTTTCCCTAAGCACTCACTAGTTCTGTATTTGGGGAAAAAACACAGGCAATCCCTCTGAATTTTGCAGTGCACATTTCAAGGAGACAGATTTCTGCAGATTTCATATAGACAACTTAACGGTTCTTATGAATAGAATTAATTTTTAATTTATATATTTTTTGTTTTTGTCACTGAAGCATCACCTTTTATTGTTTTGGTTTTCATAGCATGTCAGGAGGGGTGTGGGCTTTCAGTTTTAGTCATGGCTCCACATTCTGTTAAGTTAAGTCACTTCTTCACAGTCTGTTGGTGTTAAATCCAGTTTTAGAACATTGAATTGAGTTTTGAATTGAATTGAACTGAATTTAAATTTCTTTTAAACTTGTTAAGCATGAGCCCGCTGCAGTCTTTGTCTAGGCAGGGATTTCACACTGACTGTTATTCACCTTTGCAAAACAATTCCATGTCTTTATAGTTCGCCTGATCTTTTTCCTTCCTCAGGTTTTGTATGTATTAGCCGTAGAATACCAGAATTTAAGTACTCCTTAAGTACTCCTTGCCAACCTGCAATTAATAACACTGATCGATTTTAACATTATGTATCAATGTTTTTGGCATGTATAAAGCTTCAGCGTATAGGTATTTTCTTTATGTTGTAACTGGAATCATGTCTTGTGTTCATTGAAATTACGATTTGCATTGTCGCGGTAGAGCTTTCGTGGCTGGCACTTTGTCTCTGGAAACATGGCTTCTGTGTTATAAAAAGGAGAGAAAAGGAGTGGAGAACTGTGTAAGATCAGTTGCAGATTGGCAGTCTTTGTGTTCTGATAACAGGATGTTTTTGAGGGCTTATCTATTTATGAAATTGAGAAATCGTGTCTGTGTTTGTCTGTATGTGTATGCTTGTGTGTTCAATTGTTTTGCTGTCTAAAAGCCCACCTATGTAAACAATGTTTCGCCTGGACCTAGAGGTTGCTGCTGTCATTTGTTTGCTTTCGCCTGTCATCACTGGAATATCCATATTTATGCGGCCTCACCTGACAGTGGTTTACCTACCATTAGGCTGTCTCGATTTATTTAGCAGTTGTTTACTTTAGGTAAGACTCTGCAAAGACTTTTGCGTGCCAGTCTTGCCACATAGCGCACAAGTGTGTTGGTTTTTGTAATCTTTTTACCTGGGAATTCTAAATGCATGGTTTGGTTTTGAACTGATAATTTCAGAATAAGTATTGGTTTAATAATTTCTATTTAAAATAACTTACATAACTCACATTATCAGAATGGTAATGCAACGTGACCACAAGCTGTTGAGGCTGTATGCTGAAACTGCGTTTTATACATAACTCATCAATCAGACATCCTACTACAAACATTATCAATCAGACATACATGCACACAAACTGCCTGATCACTCCTTTTCCACTTGATTGAATGTTAAGGATGTGAGATGGAGATTTACTTCAGACTTATTTCGTATTCAGATTTTGTATTAGTCACATGCATGAATGTATTGGTACACCAGCAGCGAAATGATATGGACGTCCTGTGGGTGGGCAGTTCTGTCCTGGTGATTGTCTCTGCACACCGTATCACACTCTGCTAATGCGACTCTGCGGTGCTGAGAGCTGCAGCTGCCATACCAGGCAGTGATGCCCCCCAGAAAGCACAGATGCCATAGTAGCACTGTAGAAGGAGACTTTGAATTTCCTGAATGACCTCAGGTGATAGAGTCACTGTATTCCACCGTATTCCATTACTGTTTATGCCGTTCATTTTGTTCAACCTCTTTCTTGCTTTTGTATCTTGCATGTTCATCTTTCTTTCTCTGATATATACCCTTCTTGTTTTTTTCCTTTCTCATTTCCTTCTGTTGCGGTTATAGATTGTACTCTCATTGCTAAATATCCGTGCCAATGTACAGTGCTCACGGAAAGCCTTGGGACACTTGCTTAATCTTGTGAAATTTATTGGTTTCATAACAAAAGTCCATTGACAAGCAATGTAAATTTTTCACACATATATTTCCTAAGTTTCATAATTTTTTGACCGACTTATTCAGTTCTGTTCTTGCCACCTTATTATTAATTACAATTGTAGTGACTGGCTCCCAAATGGATTCTAAACACAAATGTTTGGGGTTTTATGTTATTGTGAAGGTGTTACTAATTAAAAAGCACCCAGTGAGACTGCTTGTCAATGAACTCAGAACATCTCTTTTAGAACTATAATTTTGTTTTTCAATTTATTACTACTTGAAATTAATTTATGTTTTACTTGAAACTACTGGTTATTTCTGTGATTTTGATTTGTAAACAAATGAATATTTTTTTTCAATAAAACCAATAAATTTGCATTATTTTTACTGAATTAAGCGAACATCCCAAGACTTTCTGTGAGCATTGTATTTCGAGGTGCTTTCAGTGCTGGAACTTGGTCAGTCGATGTTCTTTCTAGTCCATAGAGTGTAAACAAGAGTGGGACGTCCACTCGGGTTTCTGTCCGTGCTTTCTGCGTGTGTGACAAATGTATATATATGTCCTGAAAGAAGTTAGGTGTTTTATTACATGTTTATTACATTTATTCTTATCACTAAGTATATCAGCATAAGCAGGAGCACAAGCCAGAAATGCAGGGAACTGTTTTTACTTTCAGAGGAAGGAAAAAATCATCATGAATGTATCTGAAGTAGTTGAACAAGTATAATCAGTGGTGGTGAATTTCCCCTGCAGGAAAGATAGCGCTGAGTCATGCAGCCTGACCCATAGACTCTTATCTCCAGTTCCTTATTGTGTTTCCTGTCATTATCTACAAAACAGGTGCCACAAATTATGCCCCTGACTGCTTTGTATGTGTATGGGGGCAACATTTAACTTCACGAGCAGGCATTGCGAAATTGATGTCTTTCAGAGGACATCAAAATTCATAGGCAAAAAAGAAAATGCTAGATACGAGAGTCATGAGAAGGGAGTCCAGCTTCTTGACTGAAGCTGTAGCTGGGACACCAGTCATTGTGTTCAAAAGTTCTGCTGTTGTCTATGCAGTATATCCAGAGATTCTTCAGAAACGTCAATTTCCTTATGTATTACCTATACACCTGAAAGTTATTTCATCATTATCTTCAGCTTAAGGTGTTTTGTAATCTTTGAAGCGTGGCCTATTTTTTTATTTTTTTTGCATATTACTGGACTAGTATAGCAAGCACATTGTTTTTCTGAAGTTGTTATAATTTGTAATCTATAGCTACCCAAATGAACCTTTTACGAGCACATACTTCTTGGGCGTCACGTGAATGCCGGTTGGTAAAAGGGGGACTTACATCTTGTGATCAGGACATCCTGTTAGAAGCCACACGGCAAACATACTCGTGTTTGCACAGAAACCTTTATCAGGCACATACTCACAATACTCAGCCGTTACTCTGTGTATCTGCTGCTTCCTCACCATCTGTGTTGAAGATCATAAGCCTCTACATCCATTGCAAAATATTTCCGTCTTAACCTACAAATATACAGGATTTTTATAAAATGTACTGTAAACATGCATTTGGTCTATGTGAAGAAACACAATTATAGGGAGAATGTGCACACAGAGCTAAGGCAGGAGTTAAATCTGTATTCCTGGAGCTATGTGGTGACAGTGTTACTCTCAAAGCTACCGTACATGTAACTGTTCATTTGCCTGATGTCACATGATTAATACGTCCTGTATTTTCTCATGAACAAGGCTTATCATGCTAATTAAAGGCTAGGGCTGGGTATTGGCACAAATGCCCCGATTTGACTGAATTCCGATGTACAAGCTAACGATTTGATTCAATACTATTTAATTTGATTCCATTTCAATATCTATCCAATAGGAATGAGATATGAAACACTATGTAGCAGCTTTCCATATTTGGAGTGATGTTTAAAAAGCTCTAAAAGGAACACAAATGCACAGTCACTGTAAACAAATTGTGAAAGCCACTAAAGAAAGCCCCAAGGTTTATATAGCAAACTCTTTTTTATTTGAGGAACATATGGGTAAAGCTTCTTAAAAACAAAACCATCCTCACACAAAGTACAAAACATGATGTTTGACTGAAAAGAATAGCTGAAAATAAAAATGGTATGTAATGGCATGTAAAACTGGCATGTCATGTTTCAGAAGAACTTTACTGTAAAGATATGTGCCAAAACATAAATTAGAATCTTTTTATTTGAGGGACATATTTGAGAAATTGCTTAGGGCCTCCTGGACAGTCTGAGGTGAAACCTGGAGGTGTCAGATGGACCAAAACATAATGTCCCAGAGGTGTCCTATTGGAATTTGGTCAGGTGAGCGTGGGGGCCAGTCAATGGTATCAATTCCTTCATCCTCCAGGAACTGCCTGCATACTTTCGCACCATGAGGCCGGGAATTGTCGTGCACCCAGAGGAACCCAGGACCCACTGCACCAGCATAGGGTCTGACAATGGGTCCAAGGATTTCATCCTGATACCTAATGGCAGTCAAGGTGCCGTTGTCTAGCCTGTAGGGGTCTGTGTGTCCCTCCATGGATATGCCACCCCAGACCATCACTGACCCACCACCAAAATGGTCTTGCTGAACAATGTCACAGGCAGCATAATGTTCTCCGCAGCTTCTTCAGACCCTTTCACTTCTGTCACATGTGCTCAGGGTGAACCTGCTCTCATCTGTGAAAAGCACAGGGCGCCAGTGGTGGACCTGCCAATTCTGGTATTCTATGGCAAATGCCCATCGAGCTCCACGGTGCCGGGCAGTGAACACAGGGCCCACTAGAGGACGTCGGGCCCTCAGGCCACCCTCATGAAGTCTGTTTCTGACTGTTTGCTCAGAGACATGCACACCAGTGGCCTGCTGGAGGTCATTCTGTAGGGCTCTGGGAGTGCTCTTCCTGTTCCTCTTTGCACAAAGAAGCAGATACTGGTCCTACTTATGGGTTAAGGACCTTCTACAGCCCTGTCCATCTCTCCTAGAGTAACTGCCTATCTCCTGGAATGTCCTCCATGGCCTTGAAACTGGGCTGGGAGACACAGTAAACCTTCTGGCAATGACACATCAATATGCACCATCCTGGAGGAGTTGGACTACCTGTGCAACCTCTGTAGGGTCCAGGTATCACCTCATGCTACCAGTAGTGACACTGACTGTAGCCAAATGCAAAACTAGTGAAAAAACAGAATAGATTAGGACGGAAAGAAGCCTTGATGGCAACATGTGTTCAGTCTATGGTCCCGAGGACATTTGGGAAACCAGCCACAAGATAGAACTGTCCCTTCTCTTATCCTCCCATGCTCTTGTGTAATGTGGGGCAACACTGCCTTGGCAAACTGTGTCAAGGACCTTGTGAAGACTAGCAAATATACATCAAATCAGCAGCCCCCCGCTGGAAAGATCCTGCTGCTAGGAGAGATGGGCAATACACTTATCACTTTTACAAGGGCCAGCATGGTATTTGGCTGGTTTTTGCAGCACAGAAAGATTAGTATTTCATTGTCTACCCTACAACGAACAATCGTAGGAGTCCAGCTTGTGCATTTTGCTGTATGGTTTTGCCTCTAGGACCCCCTGGGACCCTGACAACGATATCGCCTAATACTTTGTTTTATTCCACTGAAAATATGTCATCTTTGCGATTAGTATTTGTTCTTTACCAGGTTTGGTATATTGATGAGCTCCAAGAAAATTTTGTGGAAGGAGTAGGACTCAGAAATGTAACCTGTTCTTGCTTCATGCATCATTGGGGGTACCACTGGATTAGCGGTCAGGGCACTGCATTTGTGCACTGCATTATCCCGACAACCTAAGGTCAGAGTCCTGGGGAGCATTACAATGCCTCCCCAGTGCCACCCACTAGGGACCCGTCTATGTATTTTTGAATATAGGCACTCATCCTAAAACAAATACATCGATCTGTTGATCTCTCCCAGAAGCATGACATGGATCATCTCCTCATCCCATGCTACGCCCCCCCCCCCCCCCCCCCTAAACCGTCAACATCTATCACTCACCTAGGGCTGAGCAGTATATCGAATTCTTATGTTATATTAATATATTTTCAAAACAACATCAACAACAAGACAATACCGCAGGATAATATAATACCTACGCACAGGTTTTCTACGTACATCTTGTGTATCGCTATTCTGTTTAAAAATATCTAGATATGGTACCCCCCCCACACCCTATGAAAATTTTCAGCCCGTCCGTCAAATTTGTTCTGGTGCTGACATACCATAGACATTTTTAATGGCATGCACAGTGACTTAAACTGATTATAGAATTCCTGCACAGATGCATGTGCATGTCATGTAGCAAATACCCGTTCATTGACAGAAATGTGTATAGCATGAACTTCACCTCTGACTTTGACCTTTTCAAAACAATGGTGTTTATGACCTTCTTTAGAAGACATTTGTGATTTAATCTGAAAATGGTTTGCCTGTTAATATTTCTGTTGTTGGGGCCACGGGTGTCAACAACCAAATTCCACTTGGAAGATGTTGTGGTTTCATTCATTATATCAGTCTTGCTTTGTTTCAGGGGAGCATTTTCTGAGGTCGTTCTGGCAGAGGAGAAGCAAACACAGAGGACAGTGGCCATCAAGTGCATCCCAAAGAAAGCCCTGGAAGGGAAGGAGAACAGCGTTGAGAATGAAATTACAGTCCTTCTCAGGTGAATGGCATATTGTCGTCTTTAGCATTTGAATGTATTTGAGGAAGAAGGAAGCAGTACTTCTATATCAAATTTGAAGGATTATTGGTAACACTCAAAGCAGTAATCATAATGCATTATAGATACCTTCATAATGCATTATAATGTTCAGTACAAGCCAATCAATATATTTTGGATTTTGGAGAGGATTGCATCTTGATGCTTCACAGAGCTACATCATCTTGAGCTTCAGCTCCTGGTTGGGCCACCTTTGGCAAACATGTCTGTGGGGAGAGGCCAGACAAACTAAACTCCAACTAAGACCCTAAATGAAAGGAAACAAGACAAACAAGTGTATCTTACACTTAACAGGATTACTGAGTCACTTCTTTGGAACCAGGCATAAGGGCAGTGTTTGCCCATCAATACCTGCTGGCATCTGTCCCATCCAACCTTGTTGGCCTCAGGCTATTGAGGCTTATTGTAGGCTCACCATCCACAAGATGAAAGGAGGGGGTCACGCACAGTGTTATTTGGGTGGCAGGCAAGAGCAGGAATATTAGACCTTGGCTGTCAAACAATACCAAACTGCTAATGTGATTATTACCCAACCTATACTTACACTGTATCTTCCTTCCACTTTTTTACTCTGGCAACAGAAACTGCACAATTTTTTTTTTTTTTACAATAAGCATTTTATTGCATTATATTTCATCTTTTAATAATAGCAGCCATACAGGGCATAAATTCTCAACTCAGAAGGGCAGCAACACTAATCAAGCAGGTACAACCCAAATGACCAACCACACTGCAGAACAAAGTACACATCACACTTAAAACCCCATACCAGATTTACCAAAGAACTGCCACAGCTTAACCTGCATCCCTTTGCAATGCACATTAAATATGTGGATCACTTTCTCCCCACAGAAGTCCTGCATACAGCAGTTATGCTTTCACTGAAATAGCTCCCCAGTGTTTCCCCTCAGAGTCCGTGCCTGTTTCAGATACCTTCTCTGTAGGACTTTTAGGTCGTCCGCATTCCCTGTCCTCACCTCTGGTCATGAGCTGTAGGTAATGACCGAAAGAAGGAGACATTGGGCACAACATGAAATGGAGAGAAATTCATAGGTTTCAGGGACTCACTCTCCATGACAGGGTGAGGACATGCAGAGGGAATCAGAGCTGCTGGAGCCAGTTCAGGTGGTTCAGGAAACCCATTAGGATTCCACCCGTAAGGCTCCCAAGGGAACAGTTCTAGGCATATTCCACTTGTCAGAAGTCAAATGAGGGATGAATAAAATTAATTACTGGAGATAAATATGACTAACCGACTGTGCTATTATCATTCACTGTTTTACTGAATATAGGATGAATAAAATTAATTAAAAGAGATTAATATGACTAACATACTGTGCTGTTATCATTTACTCCCTGCTAGGAAGTAACACCAGACTGCAGCTCATGATATTTACTGACTTATACATTACTACACTTTTGCCTCCTGAGGGTCACAGATGGTGAACGGGCAAAAAAAAGACGTGAAGGATCTGATATCTTAGATGTGTCAGTGACATGTCAACAAGGAAGTCATTAATTTTCTTTCCAAGAGTAAGGCATACATGTACCAAAGTAATAGTGTTTGCACACTCTCTCAAGTACACTGCCCGTCCAAAAAAAAAGTCGCCATTTGAATTTATATCAGCAAATACTTAAAAGCCAATGACTAGATCATTATTGCAGCTCAGCAACGTTATGCAGCAATAAAGTAAAGTCAGCTGAGTACCTGAATCTTCTGAATGGCCAGGTTACACCTCCGTCCATCATCAATGGATTTTTTTCTTCCCTGTTGGCATGGGAATACTCCAGGACAAGAATGCCAAGATTCAATGGGTTCAAATTGTCAAAGAGTGGTTCAGGGAGCAGGAGGAATCATTTTCACGCATGACTTGGTCACCACAGAGTTGTGACCTTAACCTCATTGAAGGTCTTTGGGATGTGCTGAAGGAGGCTTTATGGAGGTTCAACTCACTTGTCAATACAGGATCTTGGTGAGAAATGAATGCAAATCTAGATGAAAATACAGGATGAGATGTTGCATAAGCTTGTGGAAACAATGCCATGACAAATATGCGCCATAATCAAAGCTAAAGGCGGCCCAACAAAAAATTAAAATGGTGACTTTTTTTTTGGACGGGCAGTGTATATGTTGAATTTTAACTGCATATATACATCCTTTATAACCCTTCTATTATTTTGAAAGAAAGCTAACTGAAATACATCACGCAGAAGTCTGTTTACTCCTTGTTAATTTTAAAACATTTAAGTACACATGTGGCCTATGTCTTTCATAACAATGGGTGCAACATGCTCAGCGAATCCCTGCAAATGTCCTTGTGTACAGCCGTGCAGTGTCACAGCCGTGCAGTGTCGCATTTGTCTTTCTTTGCTCCTGTCCTCCATCTACCTGTTCAGCCCTTATCTGGGTTCTACCAATAAACTAAAGAGCTCATGTCTGCAGTGCAACCTTTTAATTAATGTGTAACCTTATAACTACTCAGTAAGAAGTTGCCTTTCAGTGTAAAATATATTATGTAACGTTTCATAGGAATGTTTCATTCAAGCACCAACAGGAAGTTCGCAGAAAGAATCACACACCTGGCTCTCTGAGTGCGGAGTGAGTGAGTAGACATCACAGGCAGGGAAAGCCGGTGAAGATGGGATGCTGAGAATGAGTATTCTGGGATTTTTTATACTCTTTGAGTAACCTTTTTGACTAGATGTAATTAATTGCATAGGGGTCTATATTGAAAACTTCATTAAGTCTTTCAGCACAGTGTCATAAAATTTTGTTCCCTGAAAGTGACATAAAGTTCCTGTGGCTGAGTCACACCATGACTGATTGTAAGAGATCATTGTACTCATGGGTGGATCCTGGCAAGGGCAAGATGGGCAGTTGCATGGGAATCTCAGACAGTTGCAGCCATTGGCTCATATTTTGCTCTGGGCACCAAGTAGGGCAGAACTGCCCCTGATTGTCCTGTTCTGTTTGGGGACAGTCCTACCTTGATTTCCATATAGTATTGGTGTAGAAAACAGTGGGAAAGCAGACTTTCCTCTACTGTATGTCCCACTTCATTAAATGGGGCAGTGTTATGTACTTTTGTCCCATAAAAAAAGTGTTTTTCAAAAGGATGCTGCGTTTTTTTGAGGCACGATAAACCATATGACTGCCAAAGATCTTCTACCCTTAAACCCCATACTTAAGTAGACGGGAGAATAAGCTTAACTGTCTGCTTGTTTGACTTGAGTGCACGACTCCTGTGTGTGAAGGGAGTTTGGACTATTCCTAAAAAGAAAAGCCTCTAATTAATCATGGGAAGAAGGAGGTGGAAAAAGGTGATTCATCAGATCTCATTACTCTTTTTCTATTGCTCATGGGCGCAGGTTTTTTGCTCCTTACACCAAGTTATGCGTCCTATTAATTGGCCTTGGATACTAATGGTTTCTGAATGCCAGCCCTGCTATAAATTACTCACAACATATTTTTTGTTAATACTGGGTCACTTGAAGTGCTGGTTTAGTTTAATGGTTAATTTCCAAGACTGTACTTTAGTGGTGATTAGCAGTCATCATGATAAATGTCTGTCTGTCCTATCGACTTGCAGCCAGTGTTTCCCATTGCCAGTGCAGTTTCTCTGTTTGGTATACTGTATGATGTCTGGATTTTGGCACCATTTCTCATGACACACAAGATTCTGTTTCCGTTTTTCCACCTGCAATTTGGCACTAACTCTTGGGCCTCTTTGGAAATGTTTTGAAAAGTTGTATCAAAATGCTCTTTTTGACTTTTTTCTATAGATAAAAGGTGGTGCTAATGGTAATTCAACTTAAAATGACTTATTACTGCATTAGTGATTATCTGTTTTCATATAGTGTTATCATTTTGTCCACCCACTCTGTATAGTTAATACAATTTGTCAAATTGTTAATAAGCTGTAATATTATCTATACATAAGTTTATTTGCACTAACCTAAGTGTGAAGTGAAGTGTTTGAATTTTATGAAATGAATGGTGAAGAAGGCGAAACATTGAAACTGAAGGTTACAAGCGAAGCTCCAAAACTATTCCGGGCATAAATGTGTAACTAAGAAGTGTCATGAAAAAAATGTTAATGTGGAACACTTTACCTTATTGAGCATAGCGGTAGTAAGTTCATAACACTTCTCTAATAGAGGTAGTATTGGCGCAGTATTCATGAATAAGAGTATTCCAGTATAACAGTATTACCACAAACATGACTTGTAGCAATGTCACATATGCTATTCCGAAAAGAAAATCTGTCAAGTCATTGTAAAATTCTGTGAAATAATGTATCATATGTAGAGTGTCTGCTTCAAGTGCCTCCCCTGAAGCCAACATTTTATAGTATGAATATCATACTGCGTAGGTTTAATTTTTTGCTCATTCCTCTTTTTTTTCAGAGTAAACCACAACAACATTGTGTCACTAGAGGACATCTTCGAGAGCAATTCCCATTTGTATCTCGTCATGCAGCTGTGAGTGTCATCTTTTTTTCTTCACTTACCATGGTCCGCAGAACACATCTGAACAGGGGGAGTGTCTTGGGCTTGTAAAGTCATGCACACCTGTTTGTTTGCTTGCTTTTGCAAAACCCATAGCCTCATAACCAAAAAACACAACCTTTTCTTTTAAAAAACATGGATACAATTAGACCTTTTATTAATAAAGTTTTATCAGCGTTTTTCGGCCTTCGATAACCTGTTATTTCTTTGTGATTGTTCATCACTGAATTCTTTATGATGCTCCAAAGGTTACCTGGCTGTGGGCCTGGGTGCCCCCCCCCCAGCCCCCCAGCTCCACGGTCCATGTAACTCATGTATAATTCACCTATACTGATTTATTCAAAATGACTGTAATTTGTCAAAATTTCTGTATTATGGGATATTAGCCAAAAAATGAGCTGGGTGTGTTTCCAGAACAAACTAAGTGGAAGGAAAGAGTTTAAAAAGTTGATACTGTAAAATAAGACTGATTCTTCATTGTATAAGAATACAGTATTTTATGATAAAATGTTATAACAATATAAATTGCATCAGATACGGTCTATGAATGATAATGTTGCAATTTTTTTTTTTTATGAATGCAAGGGTAAGTGACAGCTCTTCACTGTACAGTAGACTAATAATTTCAGTAATATTCCAAAGACCAGCATTTTCCTAGAAGCTTCTAAGGAAGGCTATGCTTTGCCTTGTAGGCGTGCAGTTTTCAGATACATTATATATTACATCCATTAATGCCGTCTATTATTTTTTCAGAAACATACATCCTTCTTCTACCGCCATATGCTGTTTTGAGTTATAGGGGGCAGCGTAGTGCACAGGACTGCGGTCCACCTTGGATGGGATGCTAATCGATCATAGGGCACATCCGTATTAACTATTTCTGACAAGCCAGTTGCATTAATAATGCCTGTATGTTTAGTGTTTGGATGACTGTTTTACAACCATTATCTTCCTCATAAAAATTAGCTGTCCGTTTCAGAGTGTCTGGAGGGGAGCTTTTTGACAGGATTGTGGAGAAAGGCTTTTACACAGAGAAAGATGCTAGTAAACTGATCCAGCAGATCTTGGATGCTGTCAGATACCTCCATGACATGGGCATCGTACACAGAGACTTGAAGGTGAGGACAGTGAGAGCATTTCATGCTATATGTATGACAGCTATCTAGTATTACTCAACTACTCTTGATTTTGTTGACAAAACCTGTGGCAAAAATTGTCAACAAAGATTTTTCACTGAAGAAAATTATATGATAAAATAAAAATGTAATTTATGATGCCAGATACTGTAACCAAATGTACTGCCACTTTCATCAACTTCAAGCCTCCATTTTCTGCTTAAAACTCCCTTAGGATTGTTACTACAATTATGTAATAGTGTCACATTATGTAACAACTTGACAAAGTGTCAATGAAGACCTGCATCTTGGTTGTACATAATGCACAGTATGACATTTTCATCATTAAAAAGCGCAACTCTAGCATTTTGTTATAACCGTCACAATATCTAATAATTTATTACGACACGTAGGGAAATGTATTTCTTATTGTGTTCAAGCTGTCTATTATAAAATATGGCAGATTATTACAAAATGCGGGTGCTTTTACATAACAAAGTGATTTTTTTTACTTTTTGTTGAGTTATTACATAATGCAGCATTATTGCATAATGCATTGTACCGAGGATTCTTCTTAAACAGATTCAGAACTGAATTGACTGCAAACTGAAATCTAATTTTAACAAATAAATCATACGAAAATATACTTTTTTGTCGTAACACCAGAAAATGCTGAAAGTATGGTTTGTTGCTGGGCTTTTTCTCTAACTGCCTCGTTGCTCATACCAGGGGACAGGTTCCACATTGCTGGTGTCTGTAACTGTGACTCTACAGACTTGCATTCTGTATGTTCTGTTGCAGTGTTTCCCAACCCGGTCCTCAGGAACCCACAGACGGGCCACGTTTTTGCTCCCTCCCAGCTCCCTACCAGACAGGGACTGTCTGTGGGTCCCTTAGGACTGGGTTGGAAAACACTCTTCTTTTGGATGCCAGTGCTTCGAGTGGTGAAATAAGTTCACAGAATTTACCGTTTTAGTTGGCACCAATTTTCAGCAGAGGTTGCAATACGTTGCACCAGCCTATTGCGTGTTCTTTAAATAGCTAAAGTATCGGCCCGTCACCAGTATCTGTATCTGTTTACCTTATTTATCCATAACATCTTCATTTTTTTAAAAGATGTTTCCTCTGATATGTGTTCCAACCTTGTTATGTGTTTATTGGTTCTACATTCAACAGTTTATTGAAATTTCTCATTTTATTATCTCTTAAATTTTCTTAATTTTAGTGTATGTATCATTTCTGTCGCCCAGCCCTAGTTCATTGCGTGTTTGGTCTTTATGCAGAATGTTTGATCTATTTGGATTAATCAAATACCTGAGGTGTACTACAGATACAGGGACACAACAGGAGCACCAAAAAACTAAACCTTCCAAAAGTCTTCTCACTTGTCAGAGTGTCTACAATAAAGTGAGAACATCAGTGTTATGGGCCTGATCATTCTCTTATGTCATGTGTCAATCCCATGCTAATTCTGCAGCCAGAGAACCTGCTTTACTACAGCATGGACGATGACTCCAAAATCATGATCAGTGACTTTGGACTATCCAAGATCGAGGCATCGGATGTCGTGATGTCAACGGCTTGCGGCACTCCTGGATATGTAGGTAAATAAATCACCTTGTGCGATCTCTGTATGGCAGTATTAACATAAAAACAAGGCAATTAAAAGTCACGTTTGTATATTTAGTCTGTATAATTTGTACTGTGTGTTTATCATTTTACCTCTTACAACAGTGAAACCTGCTGGCAGCTAGGTGAAAGCAATTAGTATTGAAGACATGTGTTCCTCTGTATCATATTTTAAATATTTTAAGTATGCCAGAGCTACATGAGGAGCTAGGTTAACCGCATGATGTTACGGATATGAGTAAGAGTGTCGCTTGTGACCTGACACAGCTGTGGGCAATTCATACTGACAGCTCCTGAAGTTCTGGCTCAGAAGCCTTATAACAAGGCTGTAGACTGCTGGTCCATTGGGGTAATCTCCTACATTCTGTGAGTATGAAGAGCACTGGACAGTGTCAGCCTTCCTAATCCACACAGTTTGTCTCGAAATCTCCACGGAGTAACACTCCTTACATTATGATATCATGTCCGTCATTGCAGGTTATGTGGCTACCCTCCATTTTATGACGAAAATGATGTCAAACTCTTCACGCAGATTTTAAAAGCAGAGTATGAATTTGATTCTCCATATTGGGATGATATCTCAGATTCAGGTAGTTCTTTTCATCTGTTGTTTCTATCTGTATTGCAGTGGCATTGTTTGTCTCTTTATGTATATAAGATAATTGTGACAAAGAGCTGCAGATACATTTTTAGCACAATCAGTCTTGCGTGATTAATTTCTAGCCTCTTCATGTATCTGATGTCGAACCAGAGGTGTGTAGCTTCAAAGGAGAATGTAAATAATGCACATGTGAGTTTGTCATCTTTTGTTAATAACAGAGAAAAGAGGTACTTAACAAAAAGCTGAAAAAATACATTATGCAATACTTTCAATGTTTATTTGACTCACTGTAATGCCACAATGATATTAAAATTTGGAATAAACAGTACAAAAGATGTTTCTATTGTTTAATTACAGCTAAAGATTTCATTTTCCACCTGATGGAGAAAGATCCCACAAAGAGATTCACATGTGAACAGGCCCTGCAGCATCCATGGTACTCAGATACCTCCTTTGCTTTTCATGAGCTTGTTCTCCAGCAGGAGAAACCAGAGATAAACTATCCAGCTAGGATAAAGTAGCTCACTATTTGGCTAGAAGATGCTATTATGGTAATGTTGTGTTTTAGTGTGATTTATGAGTTAAATAGATGTGGAGATATGTGCATGCTGCATAAAAAATGCAATTTTTTACCACTCAGTATAAAAAAGGGGAACATGACTTCTTGTTCCGTCCTCAGCTGTTATTTTTCTGTTTTTATTTTTTAATATTTTCTCTCTTATTCTGTAGGATCTCTGGGGACACAGCCCTGGACAGGAACATCCACGAGTCTGTCAGCACTCAGATGAGGAAAAACTTTGCCAAAAGCAAGTGGAAGGTGAGTGAAGGCAGGTTTTAACATGAGGTGAAGGTACCTGCTGACTCCCTTATACAACTATTGTGAAAAAATGATCAGTCACAATTCTACAAAACCTGAAAAAGTCAATATAAAAATATTCCAGGTCACTTATTTTTATAATTTTGCCAAAAATGACCAAAAGCCAGGTAATACTCCCTTGATAAGTAAACAAACATATGAACAAGTAAATGAATAAAGACCTAATGGAAGGTTAGGTCTATAATATTTTTCACATGCTCAAATATGCCCATATCAGATGCTTACCAGAGTATGTCTCTGTGACTGCACACACAGCAAGCGTTCAACGCCACAGCAGCCATCAGGCACATGAAGAGACTTCAGCTGGGAAGCAGCCAGGAGAGCCCCGGCCAGGAGAGCCCCAGCCAGCAGAGCCCCGGCCAGCAGAGCCCCGGCCAGCAGAGCCCCAGCCAGACCTCACCCACCAGCCCCTGCCATGACAGTGGTCTTGGGGAGGATAGTTGTAAATTCCACTATTCCGGAACAGCCCCATTCAACTAGCAGTGGTTGGCCAGCTATACAGGTGGCTGCTACAAGAATGCAGAGGCCAGTGCGGCTCAGTAGCTTGCAGACCTGTGGATAATGCTGCCCTCCAGCAGGAAGAGCTCAGACACAGCTGCATCACTCCAACTGCTTTTTCAGTAATGTCCAAAACCCTCCGCTGGAACTCCATTTATTCCAGAAGGATCTACTAGGGAGGGGAGGCTGTGCAGGTTAAGGAATCACTGATATTCAGAGAATAAGACACAAGCTGAACAGTGTCACAGATGGGAGAATGTACAGGCCCAACATACTATTAGTCTACCCCCTCCATGTATAGAAATGGGTTGGATTTTTTGTTTAAATATCCCTCTCAGCCAAAAATTTCACAGCACTCAGATAATCCTGTTTATACGGTTTTTGCAGAGATACTTCTGCTTCTGCGCTACAGAAGCAGAAGGTTAGATACATTCACGCTGATCTTTTATTCTAGCTGTCTCCCCTAGTCTATCTTAAAATGAGATTAGAATCCTGCAAAATATTAATAACTAAAATTAGCTAACACGGAACTATTTTCTTTGCGTATTTCTATTTTTATGGTTTGTTTTCAATTCAAATTAAGCATAGTGGGGATATATATTCTCTGTGTGGATTACATTTATTAACTTTTTTTGAAATGGTACCATGTAATTCTATATCAATCATCAGTATTGCTTATGCTTTATATGAGGTAACTGAGCAGTGCTACATATCAGGTTGTATAATAATTAGTAAACACCATATTTATGCCCAACATTCTAGGTACAGCTATGAGGTCCTGGAATTTTTCCCTGATGGGAAAACGGGGATATTACTAAAGGGGTTTTTTTATTGTCATTAAACCATATGTCTCATTTTCTTAATTTAAGCATCTCAATATTCTACTAATCATAGTTATATTTTATGATCCGATAAAATTCAGGAGGCATAAGCGTGTTAATATAAGTTTAAGTGCCATGTTGCTTAAAGAATTAAAAAAAACGCTGGAACATTTTTCCATTTCGTTGTCTCATTTCATCATGTCAATGCTAGCTTTCAGCTCTTTCAATGAACAGTTTAAATGATGTTTTTGCATGCTCCAAAAACAGTTTGATTATTACTGACTGAAGAAACAAATTCTGATTTGATTGATTGAATTTATAGCTGGTATTATAATATGTGGTGATCATTAGTTTTTTGGTGGTTTATGTTGTAGCGATTGGAAACACTGGTAGGTAGAACAGGAATGTTTCAAACAAACACTGCTAATACTCATCTACGCATTATAAAGAAAATGAAATTAGCTTTTCTGTACCCATACCTGACTGTACTTGATCCCCACGCATAACCTCAGAGGCCTCTGATGTCGCCGCCTCAGCTGAGTCTCACACTAATTCCTCTATTGTGATATTTGACTTGTCCATTTTGTTGACATGAAATTTTGCACACCTATGGGTTGATCATCCCATCAAGCACTTAAGTCAAAAAAGATGTTGAGTTAAGCATGTTCTCCCTTCCACAGCGTGGACAAGCCCTCAACGACTTTGGCAACAAGCAGAAGGTGGAACTTGGACTAATCTATTTAATTCACAGCATGAACCTAATTGAAATCTGCAGAAAGCATGCTGGAAGCCGAATACGCTTTTATTTGGTCATTCTTACGAATATGAGAATCCTTCGACCAAAAACTAAATGTTACAGTGAAATACCACGTTTGAATTGTGCAGAGCAGTTGACATTACTTGAACTTGTTTGGCACACTAAAATTGTATCATTTTTAGCTATGATTTAATGGTCCCTCAACCATTTTCATTAAATAGGCAGTACCATTGCAGTTTTAAGATTAAACAATAAAAAAAAGTAGATAATTAAAAAAAAATTCAGCTTTACTGCAAATAACCTACAATAGACAATCAAATATTGTAATATGATATATGTTCATTATTTTGTATTGTATTGTTTTACTCCATAGCTGATTGCAACTGACTCAAAATCAACATTCTAGACAAACTACTTTTAAAAATGAGAGAAAAACTGATATGATTGTTATGGTATACTATAATAATATACTATTGTGTTACAGTATACCATTGTTATATAATTATATGAATTGCTCACATCCATTTTCGATTGAAACATTTGTTTCTAATTCTGTGGCACATTTCATTTTGTGACGTTTGGCTTTCTGAAAACTGCAATATTGTGTTTGGCCATGTAGAGGTGCCTGACTTAATATAGGCCTCCCGAGCACATAGTAAAAGATACACTTTTAGTAAGCGGCAGAACGCCCTTAAGGGTTCTTTACATGTGACACACCCATATTTTGGTGCTTCTCTCTCCACCAAATATCATTACATATACAAGTACGTAGGGGGTAAACTCACAATCACTGCAGTGAAAAGTCACCTGCAATTCTGTGTTGTTGCCACTTTGCAAGGTGTATTTGTAAGTTCTTCACTGGGAATATCTACACAAATGGAGCCAAAGCAGGGCTCCATTTGTTGTTTTAAGTCCTTGGGTACTGGAGGGCTCGATTCAGGGGTGCATCCTTCGAAAGACCCAGTATATGTAGCATTTGTAGGCTGCACAATAAATCCGTCAGGATCGGTCCCTGTCCTGCCCTGGCCCATGTCTCATTTCCATATTTGACCAGCAGGTGTCACTCAGTATCCAGTATCCCGTTATTTGCCACGTTTGTTTTAGTTCCTAGTGTGTGCTCCTGCTCACTTGGCTGCCACGTGGCTCAATGAGTTGAGTGTGTGACTATGAGCGAGGCATCCATGCCATTTGAGGCATTGCTATAGGCCAGCCTTAATTATTTATAATTTGACATCCATATTTTGTTGTACACCTCTGGCTAAGTTGCATTTGTTGGTGTATTTCTGTTAGTTCCTTGTTTTTGCTCCTGGTTATCTCCTGCTTGTAGTTATGTTCCGTACCCATGCTTTTAGTCTTTCCTAATGTTTGTGTCTGTAGTGATTACTGATTATGTTCACCTGTTTCTTGTTGGCCATAGTCTTTTGTGTTCTGTAAATAGCCCACAACTATCTCTTCTTGAAGCCCTTGTTATTTGTGTGTGTGTGTGTGTGTATATATATATATATATATATATATATATATATATATATATATATATATATATATATATGCCTTTTCCCAGTTTGCTCAGTTGCTCATTGTATGTTTGTAGCTGTTGTTGCCCTGTGTCTGCTGCTGTACTACAATGGTTGTTCCTGCCTTAATTTTTGTCTTTTACTTACTTTGTTTTTGTCATCTCAGGGTTCTTTTGTTTCTTGTGGTTTATTTGTTAGTTCAATAAAGTCCAATCCTTGTCAGCCACAGCATGGATTGTCTTTCAGTCATTATGCCCACCCATAACAGAATCTTAGGTTATGTTGGCCTGCGAAGGATCCAACAGATGGATCCTTCATGACTTGGCAAAAGAAGGATGCATTCCTGGACCGCATTTGAAGGAGCCATCAAAATGTGACAGGCTTGTTGTATCCTTGTGACACATTCAGTCTTTGAATGCAGCATTAGAAGGAGGCAGTCCCTGAATTTGGACACAGACCAGAGCAGATCAGATCAGGGGTTCATGCGGCTCATCAGTGCATGCTCAGCTAGAAGTTAATTGGGTTGGTCAGTTGGCAGTAAATTTTGTTGAACAGGGGTGTGCTGTCGGCAAGGGAGAAGGGTGTTGGTGGTAAAATTTGTCAACCAGGGATAGAGGATGGCAGTGAAAGTTCCTGAATGGGTAATTTTGCCACAGAAAAACAGATTTCTATGAGGTTCCAAACCAGACAAAAACCGAGAGAAAATTGCAAGAGGAAACGGGGATGCATGCATAAGAGAAATGAAATATTGTGCAAGAAAGAGCATTGTTTGTGCATGAGAGATGTTTACCTTAAAAAGGGTGAACAAAATAAAACTAATTCTGACTGGCCAAAGAGACTTCACAAATGGCTCACATGTAAAGTATAGCTGGATAATCAACAGTATTCAGTCCTTGAAGACTGTGATTCGATGCAAAGTAGGATTTCCCAGTTTGCTGGATAACTTAAGCCAAACATGAAACTGTCCAATAGGAAGAGAGGTGATGATATTCCTATTAGACGATGCTTGGCTTAAGTTATCTGGCTAATGCAGAAATTCTGCTTTGTGGAATACCTCCCCTGGTATATACTCTTTATCTGTTTCTGCTTCATCAGAAATAAACAGAACACATTGCCTACCACATTTCTGAAGAGGCTTGTCCTTTGAAGCCTATATAATGTGTGTATGAGATATAAGAGGATTTGTTTGCACTTATAATCACTGAATGTGATCACTTTAGGAAAAGTGATCACTTAAGAATGTTAAAGCAATGTTCAAGATCTCTTGCGTACATTTGTTTCCTCTCACATTTGTTGCTTGGGTTTTGTCCAGTTTGGAGCCTCACAGATTACGATAAGTTGCATGTCATTTGCAAGTGTCAGGGAGCTGTTTACAATTTGCAGGAACTTCCAAGAGAAGTGGAATATCTGATATAGACACAAGTAAAACAGTGCACACACTTGTGCATGCAGGTTAGTATGTTTCATTCATTTATTCACTCATTCATTTACACATTCGTTCATTCGTTCAACAGTTTGATTGTTTGTTTGTTATTTTTAAAAATGAACATATACAATTCTGAGGCCCTGGATAATTTTAATCCTTGGATAGCAATGTCCCTTGAGGTAAAATGCTAATTCAAGCAGCTCAATCAACCCCCAGTCTGTTGCCCTTAGACTTGTCAAAGAACAATTGTCCATAGTGAACTAAGATAAAAAAGGGGGCAGAAGCTGGTGCACTACTGTTGCAGCTGTTTAAAATGTACCAGAAATGCCATATGTTTAGCAAGAATTCTTCTTGTCTGAAATGACATTGCTGTGCAAGAAGATTTGCTATCAGTACAGAAAGACCTGCCAGTAAATATACATTTTATGAAAAATATCTGTTAGTTGCATGTTGGGAAATTTTCTGTTTAAAATCATATCACTTGATTATGAGGACACAATATTGCAAACAAACAAATACATACTGATCTTGGTATTAATTTATATAATTCACTGTCATAATAAAGCTGAAGGGCCCCAGTAGGGTGCAATTAGACTTCTGAAGTCAATATAAGTGCTTTCAGTAATTAATCTATAGTTCCAGATTTACAAATAGAGCAGGGCCTCCTGGGTAGTCGGACATGCCTCAACATACTCCCTGTCCTTCCTGATTTGCACTTTAATTCATCAAAACTAAGGCCATCATTACTGTTCAATCAGCCCAAGTCTTGCTCGATCACAAGCCCATAGACCCCACATACAGAGAGGCCATTTTCTCCATAGCCCACTACAAATGATGGGTTACATTTAAACTGTAGCCAACATATAAGCTTGATTGATCACTTTGATGGGGTGGCATGGGTTCGAGTCTCCGCCTGGGTCACATGTGTGTGGAGTTTGCATGTTCTCCCCGTGTCGTCGTGGGGTTTCCTCCAGGCACTCCGGTTTCCCTCCACAGTCCAAAGACATGCTGAAGCTAATTGGAGTTACTGAATTGCCCTTAGGTGTGCATGTGTGAGTGAATGGTGTGTGTGAGTGTGCCCTGCGATGGGCTGGCCCCCATCCAGGGTTGTTCCTTGCCTCGTGCCCATTGCTTCTGGGATAGGCTCCGGACCCCCCTCGACCCAGTAGGATGAGCGGGTTGGAAAATGGATGGATGGATGATCACTTTGACCAATGTAATAAAACCAGACCAACTGCAAGAATTATTATTGTGCTAGTATTACAAAAATACACCAGCAATGTTGTAAGTTTGTTTTCTGTTCACCATTGTTTAATCAACCTTTATTGTGGCACACCATCCATCCATCCATCCATCCATCCATTCATTTGCCATACTATCATTTACAGGGTTGCATGGATCTGGATCTCAGAGGCTATGGGCAGAAAGCAGGGAATAAGATGGATACCAACCAAACAGACACACTTGCATACCTAT